AGGGGCTCGAACATCATCAAGAAGGCGTATAACGATCTTCCTGTATCACGCGTATCAGATTGTTCCCGAGTATCCCAATAATTCTAACATGAATCAGCATATTTTCGAACACCCAATATGTGTCGCAGCGACAGGAACATCTCAAAACAATCGATGGAACTATTAGAGAGAGAGAGATACTTTTCTATGAGAAGCTTCGAGAACAAAAGAAGGGTACCGATGATTTTCGGGAACATTCGACAAGCATATAGCCAGCCAAATCATCTGATATATAAGGACGACAGGACAGCAGGTGGTCAGTGATTGTCAGAGAGACAGCCATATACCGCGTGAGCTGTGTGCCAGTTACTCGAAGGCTCGGGCCGCCCGGTCAATAAAAGTGTAACTGAAAATTGATTCATAGCTTCCTTGAGAGAATACTTCCAGAAATCACAAGAACAAAACTTGAGATATCGCATTTTTGCGGTTTTTTCCTTGTATTTCGTTTCCTTTATGTAATACGTCACCCTGTAGATCAAGATCAAAATTTAAAAAAAAATACATATTTCTTCAAGTTTTGAGATGAAAATATATTTTTTTAGTTTTTAGGCCAACTCTATGACGCTTTTGAACTGCCATCCTGAAAAAACTTTTTTTTCACGAGTACTTGCATAATTAATAGTTGCAACTGTAAATTAGGAAGGGGAAACTTTTTTTTTACACATCCCCTAATTTACAGTTGTAACTTTGAATTAGGAGATGTTTTGAAAAAAAAAGACTCTCCTTCCTAATTTACAATTGCAACTGTGAATTAGGAGATCAACAGTAAATTAGGCAAATATCCGTGAAAAAAAAAGTTTTTTCAGGATGGCAGTTCAGACGCGTCGTACAGACATAATAATTAGTTTCTTAGTGGTTTTTGAACCAAAAACTGATTTTTCGAAACTTCGACCTCGAATAACTCGAAACTGGTAAATCGGGACGAGTTTTGTGTAAGTTCTGAAGTTAGAAAGAATTTGATTGTCGATATCTTGAGCTCTTACAGGGTGTTGAACATGTGTTGAACGAATTTTGCCGCCATTTTTTCTAATTTTACTGGGCTAAATGTAATCCCCGCAACTCGCAAATCGTATGCAAATCATTATTCCATGCATATTTTATGCTTAACTAACCTTGATCAATATTTGGGAGCTTCGTAGATAATCTTGTACATACAGGTCAATGATGTAAAGTGACCTTCGAATAAGTCTAAATTCGCCCACCCAAACTGTATGCAAATGTTATGGCATTGATTCATGGGTCGAAATGAAGGAATTAACCAAAGGGCATACCATCGTAAATAATCTGAGAGAAATGTCGGTTAACGGTAACTTGCGGTCCGTATGCCGCCCTTCGGGACCGACCTAGACGTATGCAAATCGGCTAGCGCCCGGTTAATTTGGCGAGATGCGACTATTCCAATGAATTTTAAAGCTTCTTCTATAATACAATTTTCAGCATTACTTTCAACAGGAAGTTGATTGATTAGGGAGATGGGCGACCGGGTACCGATCCAACTAACCACTTTTTTCCCGATAATCCAACTCAATCTTCATGTCTCTTGAAGGGCATACCTTCGTAGATAATCGACACCCCTAGTGTTATGGGCCAACGGTCTATTAAGGATTATCGTGCATTTTCATACGCGAAATTTTAACTATGAATAAGAGATAGGCAATATTTTCCCATCCATCTTAATGTACAAAAAAAACATATTAATGTTTAATTAACTCCCTAGTCAAAAAAAATAAATGAATATTATGTTCATAAAATAACGCAACCTTGATAAGGTAAAAACAGTGAATTTCAAACAACTAGTTTGTGAAGAAAATGCCAAAGAAATACTGAATAAAATCAATCACTAACTTGGTCGTACATTTTTAGAAAGTATTACTAGTTCAGTCTGTAACAAAAAAGACATAGATAAGGCCATTTATTTTTGAATAAAAGTAGGTATGTGAAAAATAGTTATTTATTATACAAGGGAAAAAAGTAGTAGATTTTAGCTCCAGGTTGTGTTGTCTCCCGACGCGTAGCGGAGGGAGACAAAAAACCGTGAGCTAAAATCTAATATTTTTCCCGTGTATAATACACTATTTTTTTCTGTGACAGAAGGAAGGACGAATCAATATTGGGAAGATATTACATTATTTCGAAATCTGAAGATTATCGACGTGAAATTTCCAGTTTTTAACAGTAAGGACACCTGCGTTTTATAGACATCTTCATCATTCTTTTGAAGTAATCAAATATCTGATGTCACTTCTGTCAGTTCAATTCTGTGATTTGATTTTGAAAAATTGCGAATTCAGTAGTTGTTTAGTAATATACGAAACCGCGAAGTCGAATGGAAGATAAAAGGACTTGCAGTTCTTTCTCGGAGACGGTATTATTGACTTATTTTTCGGAACTATAGCACAACAAAAGCCATTAACAGAGTATATATATGTGATATATATCCGGGAAAGAAGTACTCACTTTTTTCCCACGGGAAAAAAGTAATTTATGAAAAGTGACATTTTATAACCTGCCAACAGAGATGAAATGCCAAACTTTTTTCCCGTCACAGAAAAAACATGTTTTTTTAATTTTTTTTTGTTTTTAACTTTCCAATATTTTTCATGATGTTGAATAATTACTTCAGTAATTTTTATTGAATGTACATATATTTTACTTAGAGTCAAAACCCTTTATTTCATTTTTTAATCTGAGATTTCGATCTTCGTTGTCTGTTATAATATATATAATAAAATAATATTAGAATTTGTTTATTAATTGTTACTTATTTGGACCGTTTCTCAATGCATCCATTTCGTTCAAAGCATCAACATTACAACGTTTCTTCAAAAACAACTTGGAGCGATCTAATTCTTCTGGTCAGAGCCACTTACGCTTGACCTGCAGCAAAGAGTAATCACAAAACTAATACACCATTTTGATGATGCCATCTTTCATTTCTCAATTTTGATGGAAGAATCATGAATTCCGATCCAGAGATTTCTGAGGAACATTTCCCGTGGAAGTATCTATAGAAAAGTGAAAGGTCGCCGACTTTCCTAAGGTGTTCTAATGAAGTCAAAGAGTTGCTGAGTGTGGCATCACCCACCATGCAAATGGATCTTCTTTGGATGGAATCTAAGAGCATCACCATACATGAGAACACTTTTCTAAAACTGGCCGTATGGTGAGTGTATTATGGCACGCGAAGTAGGAATGTCCCCCCTGGAACAGTATGGAATGCACTTGAATTTCATAAATTTTATCCTTAAAAACTTCAAATTTATCAACAGCTTTTCGACAACGATTTCGATAAAGAAATTGTATTTTGTGAAACAATGGCCAATCAACACAGCCATCAAACTGTTTAATCACTTACCTCGTAATCCCGTGTAATGTAATGTTATGTTAGTTATGTTACCGTCTTATTTCCTTCCAACTAGATGGAGCTCCACCACACTACTTTTTTCCAGTTAGACAGTGACTAAATAATAGTTTTTCTGAAATATAGATTGGTCATGAGGAGCAATTGAATGGAACACCTCTAGATTTTTTTCACCTTGAATTGGTTGTTTATTTTTTCGTCTCTTGGAGCACACGAAAGAAAATTCCTATGATGTTCGAAGAACATCGTGCGTACCTAGGGAGGATAGGGAGAGGAGGTAGGTGTTGGATGTGATTATGAACTTTTGGAGGTTATTAGTTCTTGGAAATCCTTCCATTAGCAGAGAATTCCAAAGCTTTGCCGTATTATAGACGGACGAGTGGTAAAGTGTTGTTAGACATATTTCAAGGTTGACAACGAAAGGATGTGCTGACTAGGCCTGTCGAGTTTGTCTGAGTATTGCTAGTGATGGAATGATAGCATAAATTTCTGAGGAACATTTCCCCTAGAAGTATCTATAGAAAAGTGAAAGGTTGCCGACTTTTCTACGGTGTTCTAATGAAGTATTAGTTAATGTGGCTTCACCCACCAGGCGGATGGCTCTTCTCTGGATGGAATCTAAGAGCATCAGCGAATGTTTGTGCGCTGAACCCAGCCCCAAGATTCAGCAAATTGGAAGAGGAGAATAACGGCTGCGGGTAGAGAAATGCAAGTAGAAGTTTTTCGAAATGTTAGAAGAGTTCGAAAGCACACTTTATTACTGCTTACAAAATAATGGTCAACATTTCCAAGACAATAAAATTAGGTAATATTCATGACTTATTTGATTTATTGCGAAAACTTGAAATCTAAACTTGTTTACAGTTTCCACTTGATTTTTTCTAGAAGTAAGCATAAAGGTCAATTAGGTAATTTTGTAAAGGTAGAAGAACGCCGGCCTTCAAAGTTAGGTATCATTTGAGATCAAGAAATCGAGTTGACGTGTTCTTGAATATTTTTGTATTTTCTTATGGGGCTGAGATTTTCAGGGTGGTGGTTACATTTTCAAATTGGCACACTATGAAAAACTATTGCTTACATCATCGTTCACTATCTTCTCTGCCGCTCTCACATTGTTTTATTTTATAACAATATACAGTGTTATACATCAAAAATATTCAATTTTTCTCCGAACTGATTCAATCAAAATATATTCATATTCTACACAGTCATTCCACTTGTCATAGTCGACACATTCATAAATAGTTCTGGTCAGAACTAGCAATAATTGAGTTATAAGGTCATTAAGCTGGATTTTTTTTTAATAATTCATGAATGAGTGGACATCACCAGTGGAATTTATGTATAGAATACGAATGATTATTGATGAAAAATTACGGAGGAAAACTAATTGATACTGATTAAATGTTGAAAAACACCTTGGAAAATGGAAATGGTTCTGGGAAGTCGAAATAGATTTTTTGCATTCTTCTCATTTTAATCTAGTTTGGGTTCAAGTGTGTATTGCCGAAACCTCTTTTGCCTTGCAGGTACTTTTATTTCAAGTTGTAATAAATAGACCGATATTATAAATAATTATATTATATCAATTACTATTTCTCTACAGATACCGTTTCAGTTGATCCCAATTACAGAAAATAGTTTGATTTATCTGCTCACAAAATTGTCCATTAAACATGTATCCGTCAAGACATTTTAGTTCAACAGGTTTTGTATCATCAACACAATAGAAGAATCTCTGACAACTGAACTTGTGGAAAGCATAGTTCGTCAATTTGCAATCTCCGAATACATTGTAATTTTTTTGCCTTTCATAATGCTGATCACATTGCTGCGTGTCGGGGTTGAATTTCGTTCCATTTGGGCAAAATGAAACTGTCAAATAATTGATTTTCTCATCTAGAATATCGATACATTTGTAAAATTTTCCATCATCTGAGGGATCTGCAAATATTCCTGGCCCACTGCAAACTCTCACAGGCTTAGTGAGAAGGTGACTTTTCAAGTATTGGTAGTTTGGTTCATGGATGCTGCATTCTGCTACATTTTCTGGCAGGTCACATCTACGAGCTTTTGCGTTAAATTTGAGGCATTTTGGGCATTCGTACACCCTTGATGCTACAATTCTTCTGTGTATATTGCTGTAATAGCATTCGTAATGTGAAGAGCAAGAAAAATTGTAACGAAAAAAGCCTTCCGAAGGACATGGTCTATCTGGAATAAAAAAATGAGCTGTACTTTCCAGTGTGATCTACCGTGCTTTCATTGGAAAACACTACATAGGCAAAGTATTTGGACTAGCAGCTACGTATAGGAGCGGGGGATTAGCGTCGAGAGATCACTGACTGGCTGCTTCCGCTTTCATAAGCGACATGGCTCGCTTTCTCCCTTCCCCCCTATCAAAAATGAAATCGCACGAGTTATGCCTATGTAGGGATTAAGCGTGAAAGCACGGTATATCACATACGCCTGTGAAATATAAGAGACAAAAATGAATTTTTACACCACTGTGTTCGATAACTTTCCTAAATTTATAAAATTTGGACTTGGACATATAGAAAATACCAACATTCCACCAATAGACAGTTCCAATTTCAGTCATCCATATACGTCTCAACCAATCAAAGTATTATTTTAGTAGGAAACATCTACTTATACATTATCGTTCAATAAAATGCAACATGAAAGTTTGATGAATTGAAAAAAAATTTTAGATATTTTTTCTCCAATTTGTTGTCGTCAGGCAATAGAGGCGAGATCCCAATGGCTCTGAGATATGTTGAATTATTTTCAATTTAGTCTCTCTCGTGATATAACTACTACTAGAAAACTACTACTATTACTACCGAAAAACTGCAAGCAGATTATGAACGTACTAGTGAAAGCATTAAAAAATAGACACATCTAACACCGAAACATATAAATCACACTAATGAAACAAAAAAAATTTATGGTTCGTTTTCTCGGAGTATCTTTGTTTTGCACACATTTCCCAGGAACATAAACAATTTGCCAATTACTGAACGTTTCACAGAAGTTGAATCGATTACGTCAGATTTTCGCCACATTGAATTCAAGAGAGATTCCTCCGCCATTTTGGGAAATACTAATGGATACTTAGGTCTTTGAAACACGCTCGATAGAGCAACTATTACGTATGTTTTTTTATTGATACACATCATAAATATGGAAATAATAACTGCTCATTGCCTATTGCAGTCCGTACGGTGAATATAAATTCCTACCATTTACCAATAAGTACAACTCCCAGGAAACGGTCAGTGACGCTGCATGCTGTTGGATTGAGTTTTTAGTTTAGAGCTGAAGGAAACATTATGTATGATACAAAATATAATTAAAATTCGTCGATACTTTCAGTAGGTAGATCGGCTGTTTTTCTTCATAGAATAATTTGTTTTTGATATGAAAACGAAATTTTTTTCATAATTATTTCTTCCCCTATACAGCGAAAAATGTGGTATGGGGACATGTATTGTTCGTTTCAATTCTTGATATCAAAATTTAAAATTTTTATGACAATTGAATAGTGGTGTCCTATTATGAAAGTTTATAGGTTTTATGGTAGTAGGGCGAATTCCGCCTCCCTACCGTTATGATGGTCCTCTTGATCTCTATGACCCCTACAACTTGTGCCTCAAACATTCGATTGTTCCGTTCCTTTTCGGACACTGATATACATAGGTTCCTACCTACTTATTGATAATATTTGAATAATATGCAAATTAGAAGAGGTTCTCGAAAGTGATATATACCAATGTGTTGTTTATGTTCAATTTCGAATCAGTTAATAATCTATTTCTCTAATGGTATGAAGAGAGAAGTTCAGAAGGAATATTAAAAATCAGCTATCGATTGAAGTTCGATTGTGCTCTTACCTGATAGATTGTTTGTTGATTCTGCATATTCCTCAGTGGTTCTCCATCTTGTGCTGGATGATGACGGACTCGTATGATCTGGAGTGAATCCTTCACTTCCGGTAGTTGATCTTCTGTCATAAATGGAAGTACGTTGTTCTTGTGTTGATGTTGCCTCATTTCTTTCGGTACTCGATGAACTTTTTGTGCTTGCATACACTGGTGTAGTTATTCCGCTTTCTGGATTCCATATACTACTACCACTATCCATTGAAGTACTTTCCTCTTTGGTTACTTCGCTAATGGTAGTTGATTCGTAATTGATCCCAGTATTCATTGGAGTATATGCAACTGTAGTCCTTTTACTTCCGGTTGTAGGTGAACTACTTATGGTTGTGGTTTCACCTGCGTTTTTGGTAACTGAAGAATCCTTACCATTGACTGTGGAATATTTTCCTGCAGTTCCTTCTCTTCCGGAAGTTGATGAAATACTTTCATCAGAACTATCCTCGATATTCGTCGTTGATAAACTGATTACTGTATGTTTTGATGTACTTTCTGTGATTTCAATAGTTGATAAACTACTATTATCATTGTTTGTAGTGTATTTCTCTGTTGTTTTTTCGCTTTCAGAAGGAGATGAACTATCAATAGTCGTATAATCTGATGTAGTTGCTTCGCTTTCAGTTATCATACTATTGCCACTATCGAAAGTAGTGTATTCTTCAGTGGCTGATGTACTGCTGCCAGAATTTCTTATTCCCATAGTTGAAGACTTACTTGAATGTACCAGTGTAGTTTCTTCACTTTCAATAATTGGTGGACTACTGCCACTATCTGTCGTTCTATATGCTCTCGTGGTTCCACTGATTACGGTAGTTGTCTGTTTTGATGTAGTTTGTTTGCTATCAGTAATAACTGATGAACTGCCGACACCATTGAATATGGTATATTCTCCTGTGATACTTCCACTTCCTAATGTGGTTTCATCGCTTTCCATCATTACTGAAGTATTACCACTATCGATTGACGTATATTCATTCGTGGTTTCTTCATTTCTGACTGCTGTTGAACTAATTGTAGTTGCATACTTTGGTGTAGTTTCTTCGTTATGAGTAATTGGTGATCGACTACCAATTTTTATTGTATTATATTCTTCTGTTGTTTTTTCGTCCCCAGCTTTTTTTGTTGTTTCTCCAATAATATATGTGCTACTGCTACTAGCGAATGATTTTCCCGTCGTTCCTTCTCCTTTGGTAGTAGGTGATCTACTTATAGTTGCATGATGTGGTGTATTGATTGATAAACTACTACTACTATCGATTGTGGTATATCCTCCAATGGTTTTTCCATCTGTGGTTGATGAACTACTCAAAGTATCATGGTCTTTCGTAGTTCCTTCATTTTTGATAATTGTTGAACTACCACTATTGTTGATTGTAGTATGATCCTGTGTGGCATCTTCGTATCTAGTAGTTGATGACATGCTTGTAGTGGTATTTTTCAGTGTAGTTATTTCGGTAGTTTCTTCGCTATCAGTAGCAGTAGTATATCCTCCTGTGAGTTCTGTAACTCTTTCGCCTTTGGTAGATGATGAAATACTAAGATTCAGTGTAGTTTCTTCTTCGATAGTTGATGAACTAAAGCTACCATCAATTGTATTATATTTTCCTGTGATTCTTTCAACTCCTGAGGTTAGTGTACTACTTGAAGTTGTATGTTGTGGTCTTGATCCTTCGTTTCCAGTTGAACTCCTGCCACTATTAATCGTGATATATACTGTTGGGGTAGAGAATGATTCACTCATTGTCGTATAGTATCGCGTAGTGCCTTCACTTCTAATACTCAATGAAGAACTGTCACTATTCATTTCAGTTTGTTCTATTGTTGATTTTTCGTTTCCGTTACTTGATGACTCATTTTCAGTTGTATGGTTTGATGTAGTTTCTTCGCTACCACTTCCACTAATAATTGTAGTATATGTTCTTGTGCTTTTTTCGCTTTCTAAAGTTGATGATCCGCTTATTGTTGTATATGTTTCTCTCTGTTCACTATCAGTTACTGATGAACTACCGCTACTAATATATTCTTCTTTGGAGTCTCTGGTTCCTTCGCCTATCGTAGCTGTTGAACTTCTACCACCAAATGTAGTCTGTTTTGGTGAAGTTTTTTCGTCGTCGGTAGATGATGATCGATTCAAAGTTGTGGATTCCCCTGTAACCCCTCTTCTTTCAGTAGTCCAATAATTCAATGTGGTTCCTTTGATTTCAATGTTTTCAGAACTACTGCCACTATCGATTGCAGTATATCCCTTTGTGATTTCTTTTCTTCCGGTAGTTGATGAATCGCTCATTGTTATATCTTCACTATCATGAATTGATTTAGTATGTTCCTCACTTTCCTCACTTTCCTCACTTTCCTCACTTTCCTCACTTTCCTCACTTTCCTCACTTTCGGAAATACTATCGTCTTGTCTGCCATTATTGGTTGTAGTATATTTTTCTGTGGTTCCTTCGTTTGTGGTAGTTGAAATACTCACGGTTATATGGTCTGGTGTAGTTTTCTTCTCGATAATTTTTGAAGTACTGTCATCTTTTATTATAGTATATTGTTCGGTAGTTGCTTCGCTTCCTGTGGTTAATGAATTTCTCAAAGTGGTATACTTTGGTGTGATTTCTTCGATCCTGGTAGTTGATGAAATAGTAATTGTTGTATCTTCTGGAGTAGTCTCTCCAATTCCAGTAATTGATGAACTATCGTCCTTATTAATTGTTATATGGTTTTCTGTTCCTGCGCCTTCACTATTTGTTGAACTACTCATAGTTATAGGGTTTGGTGTAGCTTCCCCACTTCTAGTGACTGATGAACTGCTGCCATCATTGATTGTAGTATGTTCCTGTGTAATTAGTTGACTTGATATAGTAGATGATATGCTAACAGTTGTATGTTTCGCTTCATTTTTGTCACTTTCACTTATTGGTGAACTGCTCCCTCTATTGATTGTGGTATGGTCCTGTTTGGTTTCATTGTTTTCTGTTGTTGATAACCAGTTCATTGTTGTAATTCCCCCGTTTTCCGTAATCGTTTTATCAAGATCAGTAGTGACTGTGATATATTCTTTAGTAGCTTTTTCGTTTCCTTCGGTTGATGTTGTAGGTTCTGTTATGGTCCCAATTTTGGATATTGATGAACTACTATCGATTGTAGTATACTCCACTGTGGTTTCTTTGGCTCTGGTAGTTGATGAACCATGGTCTGGTGTATTCCCTCCACTTTCAGTTATCAATGAACTACTGGCACTATTGATGGTACTATATTTTCCTGTGGCTTTTTCACCTCCGGTAGTTGATGGCCCAGTCTTATCCGTATTTTCCAGTATAGTTTTTTCTTTATCAATATCCGATGAACTACTTCTGATTGTATTATATTCTTCTGTAGTTCTTTGGCCTTCGGTAGAACTACTGTCACCTTTACTTGTTACATAACCCTTTGTTATAGTTGTGAGTTTTGGTGATGTCTCATCATGTTCACTATTTATTGAAGTGTATCCAACTGTTACTCTAGTGCCACCGAATCCTTCATTCGGCGTAGTTCTTTCGCTTTCTTTGGTTTTGGCGAAGTTATCTGTAGTTCGTTTTCTTTCGGTAGTTGATGAACTCCTTGAGTTCGTATGATCTGATTGTGTAGTAGTATATCCAGATGTAGTCAAATGATGACCATGTTCTGTAGTGTGTTCTCGTCCGTCAAGTTTGGTTATATATTCTTTCCAAGTAGAACGAGTTCCACTGTCTTTGGTCGCATATGAGCTATCCTCATATCGATTGGTTGTGGTTTTCTGCATGTCTTCATTTGAATCACGGCCATGGTGCGGAGTAGTTTTGTTTTCGATAACTTGTGAATCTGGTTTGCTTGTATATTGCTTAGTAGTTATTTCGCTTCCTCTGGTTGACATTCCTCCGCTGTTGATTGTGGTATGCTCATCTAAGAAACCTGTGCTTCTGGTAGTTGATGAAAAAGTTTTGGTTGTATCGCCTGATGTACCAGGTTCCCTTTCAGAAAGTGATGAACCCGTATCATCATTGGTTTTATCAGAGTTTTCCGTGGTTTGTTTTCTTTCAGTAGTTAATGAACTTCTTGAATTCGTATGATCTGATTGTGTAGTTATTTTAGTTTTGTGTGTAGTGCCCTCGCTCACGGTATATTCAGATTTAGTCGGATAATGACCATGTTCTGTAGTGTGTTCTCGTCCGTCAAGTTGGGTTATATATTCTTTCCAAGTAGAACGAGTTCCACTATCTTTGGTCGCATATGAACTATCCTCATATTGATTGGTTGTGGTTTTATGAGTGTCTCCATTTGTATCATGGCCGTGGTGTGGAGTAGTTTTGTCTACGATAACATGTGAATCTGGTTTTCTTGTATATTTCTCAGTAGTTCTTTCACCTTCTGTGATTGAAATTCCTCCGCTGTTGGTATGTTCCCCTGAGATATCTGATGTACTTCGTTCTGTTCCAGAGAATGATGAACCCTTATCATTATTGTTTTCAGCAAAGTTTTCTGTAGTTCTCTTTCTTCCGGTAGTTAATGAACTTATTGAATTCGTATTATCTGATTGTGTAGTTCCTTTACTTTTGTCTGTAGTGCTCTCGCTCGCGGTATATTCAGATCTAGTCGAATGATGACCATGTTTTGTAGTGTGATCTAGTCCGTGAGGTTTGGTTATATATTCTTTCCAAGTAGATCGAGTTCCACTGTCTTTGGTCGCATATGAGCTATCCTCATATCGATTGGTTGTGGTTTTCTGCATGTCTTCATTTGAATCACGGCCATGGTGCGGAGTAGTTCTGATTTCGATAACTTGTGAATCTGGTTTGCTTGTGTTAACCCATTGACCAGCCACATAAGTGATTATACTTTCGCAAGTTATTTTCAACTCGAATGTATGAATATCTCTGATACTACACATGTAGAAACAATTTCTGCATCGTACTTTCTCATTCTGAAGTAAATACTCGTAGTGCGTCATTGGTGTAATTCCAGTTTTTTCGCATTCGATTTTCGGGACAATAGGACAGTCCGATACTGCTAAATATGTATTATCTATGTGCATTCTTTTACATGTTTTTTCTTCATCGTCATAGTAATACATATCATCGCATTTTGCAGCTATAACTAGATCGTCCATACATAATATATAATGTTGGAAAAAATTATTATTCGGGTGTCGTATGATACCTCGCTGATTTCTTGGGCAATTTTGATTCTTTATAATACAGGAACTAATTCCTTTGCCAGGTAGTTCGTGACAAAATCCAAGACTGCTGTTGAAAATTTCACGTTCTTGGCAATCGTGTCTAATTGTATGTTTGTTATGGTCACAAGTACAATATGACCTCAAGTTCGGACTCTCATAAATTTCATTTGCATTATCACACTTCTTGGGACACCAGTCGCTATCTCTCTCAGAAACGAAATTACTATAATATCCTAAGTAATCCCTTAGTTCTCTTTCCATCATTAGTAGTTTTCTTTCGCTCTGGAAATAAATTTAAAAATGAACATTTTCACAGGGTTGGGATAAAGTAAGTAAAGGTAATAATGTACTTCCGGTTTAACCGCCGGAAATACAAATCACTTTTTTAAATTTTATATAGATACCCGGTATATTTTTTGCTAATTTTGATAGATCTTGATATTTCGAATTCATACATACTGGCCTTCCATAAGAAATTTTCTAACTTGCAGTTGGATTAAAAACTTGAAAATTGGTATGCCGTTATAATTGATCATTTCAAATCTGATTGCACTTTCATATTCAAATGTTATTCTTCAAGAAAATTAATTCCAATGGGGTTTATCACCCTATGAAAACCTCTTGATCAATTCCTAGAGGCTACAGGCCCCTTTCAAAACAAGTACCTGCAATAATTTTCCCGATTTCAATTCTACACATGTATTTGAAATTTTACAAAATATAAGATATTTTGCAATTGCTAACCTCTTTTTATCCTCGTGTAAGTAATTTAACAATCATATTATGCCTGTTATTAGTTCCATACTCATTGTAGGACGTTGTACTACCTTTGGCTGTTGATGGGCTAATTATCAGCACGAAACATGTCCCCCCTATTGTAACATAACCATGTTAACCCTGTGAATGTCGTGGATATGCCTTAGAGAATTATTCCTTCTTCAACTACTACCATTTCTGTTGAAACTTCACAAACGATAAGATATCCACAAAATTTTCAAACAAGACATGTTTCGCTAACACAGTAGCTTCGTCGGGTGATATACTGGTACAATGTATTATATCCTACTTTCCCAACCTGCGAAACTTCTTAAACAATTTGTTCGGCCGATCTTTTTGTTTTGAAAGGTAGTACTTAGCTGAGTGGAATCCATTACAACTATTATAGTGAATTTGTTGAGCTTGCTTCCTTTTTCCTCTCTTATCAACCTAGTCCGAGGCTGTATTGAAATGAGGTTGAAGATTACTGGGTAGAATTGACACAATCCTTGCAATACGCATATACTTTCGTCAACCCTACCACTTGCTCTTGTGAATTTACAGAGAAAAATGTTTTTCAGTTTACTCAAGTTCGTGGCCATGTAAATGCACTTGTATGATTCAAGTGAAGATAGAAGTGAAGAATTGCTCAAGTGATCTATACTCAACGCGAGCATCATCGATATCGTATAGTTTTTGAAGTCCAAGTCAAATTTCCAAAGCGGGAAATTGCTACAATCAATAAAGGTTTACAATGGGCAAGATTGGTGTCTTTGTTATTGATTTTCCTGTGGCTTTCAATTCCACACTTTGTTGAGCCGTAACTGAACAGAACCGTAAAAAAACTAACGCTCGTGGTGCCGAACAGATTCAATGACTTTCTCTGGACGACCTTCAATGTCCAATTGATGAATTTCCTTGATTTTTATTTTTCATGCACTCCTTCCGGTTTTGCGGGCGTAAAGTGGTACTTTACAGCCCGCGGACTACTTTACTGTCTGGCGTATATATAGGTAACTCGTAATAGGCATTCCTGTACATTCAGGACATTTATGTTTCAGTTGTGATGGTTCCTTATCTATAATATGACAGTTCTCTTCATATTTCTGAGATGCAAAATGATAAATGATCGAACTCAAATAAAGTTACCTGTGATGACTGAGCGATAACTTCGACATAACATGAGATAACGGTTTTTCGTCGATTCTGAAAAATACACAATTTCGACTTGATGCAGTGTTGTTTTGGGCGTGCGATATGACCGAACCCAAAATAAGTTACCTGTGATGACATTAATTGACAGCAAATATAATAGTCTACCCCTAATTCAAAAAACTGACTAAATTACCATGGTAACGTCGATTCCATCAATGATATTCTTTACTGCAGCCATATTGTATTTATATCGTTCTAGAGAGATCATGCTATTCAAAGTCAGTTTCTCTTTCTAAACATAAAGGACCCCGCACATTTAGTACGGAAAATGGCTTTCGGCTAATTTTTCTGGAAATTTGATATCTTTCAGATATTAGCGTCCTTATTACACAGTCCAATTCACAGATCTATCCTATGACCAGTTTTTGAGCTACAGGGTGTCAATCATTCGATTTTCTCTGTTTAAAATATTTCGCATCGATTCGAATTATGTGCTCTATGTCGTGATAAATCTTCAGTAGAAATGAACGCTCCACGTCTAATTTCTACCTCATGATTCCCGCTATTCGGAAAGATAATAATATCACATACAGGGTATTGCATTCCATCATGACGAGGTAATACTCATAGGAAAAGAAAAATATAGAAAATATCAGAATTTCGATTTTCACTCAATCACTGAAAACTTGAAAACAAACGGCTAGAATCGGCCAATTATTTGACAAACTATGGATCTTGATCAACAACATGAGGATTCATATGATTTCCTCTGATACAATGTCCGGTTTGCCATATATAGGGTGATAGCAATTTGAATGCTTAGAATTGATGTAACGCATGTACAAAATGAGATACATAACTGTTTATATAATATATAAAGTGTAAAATAAAATGTCTCAAGAAATACCCCAACCAACCCTATGAGTCACAACCACCCCAATGCATAGCATTTCAATAGTAGCCCCTACTTGTGATACCTTATTGAATAATACCACTGGAATGCATTTTAACCGAGCTATTCAATGAGGTAGGTATCACAAGTAGGGGCTACAATTGAAATGATATGCCTTGGGGTGGTTGTGACTCATGGGGTTGGTGGAGGTATTTCATGAGACAGTTTATTTCCCACTTTATATATTATATAAACAGTTATGAACCATTCGTGATATGTATCTCATTTTCTACATGAGTTACATCAATTCAAATTGTTATCACCCTATATATGGCAAACCAGACATTGTATCAGAGGAAATTATATGAATCCGTATGTTGATGATCAAGATCCAGTGTGTGCCAAATAATTGGCCGATTCTAGCCGTTTGTTTTCAAGTTCTCGGTAATTGAGTAAAAATCTAAATTCTGATATTTTCAATATTTGTCTATTCCCATGAATATTACCTTGTCATGTTGGAATGCAATACCCTGTATGTAATATAATTTTATTCGAATAGAGGGATTCATGAGGTAGAAATTAAACGTGGAACGTTTATTTCTACTGAAGATTTATCACAACGTAGAGCACATAATTCAAATCGATGCAAAATTTTCTAAACAGCCAAAATCAAATGATTAACACCCTGTAGCTCGAAAACTGGTCATAGGATCGATCTGTTAATTGGACTGTGTAATAAGGACGCTAATATCTGAAACATATCAAATTTTCAGAAAAATTAGCCGAAAGCCATTTTCCGAACTAAATGTGCGGGGTCCTTTGTGCCAATAATAGTGGGTCCTCCTCCAACTCTTTCAAAACTCGGTTTACATCATTTTGAAGGAAATTAAGTGTCTGCCAATTTCCAGAAGATTTGATCCGTTATTTTAGTCATAATTTTAGATAATTTTGTTTTTTCACCTAACTTACAGTGGCTGTAGCTCGGAGGGGGGTCATTTTATGACACATATTTATATGAAGAAAAAGTCTTATTTTGTCTCTACCAATATGTCCTTGAAATATTTACATCGAATGTTGAATCACCCGTATAATCGGATAGGGTTATCTTGTAGTTTTCACACCTACAGAGAACTCATGATGTACGAAATCATTTGTTCCATCATTCTTGGGATGATTTCAGCTGTGATTTCGGTCTACGTAATTTTGGAGAGGACCGCAACAGTTTCGGTTGTGCATAACAGTATGGTATTGGCATTGAGCAAAGGTTATCTTGTAGTTTTCACACCTACAGAGAACTCATGATGTACGAAATCATTTGTTCCATCATTCTTGGGATGATTTCAGCTGTGATTTCGGTCTACGTAATTTTGGAGAGGACCGCAACAGTTTCGGTTGTGCATAACAGTATGGTATTGGCATTGAGCAGATGTTATCTTGTAGTTTTCACACCTACAGAGAACTCATGATGTACGAAATCATTTGTTCCATCATTCTTGGGATGATTTCAGCTGTGATTTCGGTCTACGTAATTTTGGAGAGGACCGCAACAGTTTCGGTTGTGCATAACAGTATGGTATTGGCATTGAGCAGAGGTTATCTTGTAGTTTTCACACCTACAGGGAACTCATGATGTACGAAATTATTTGTTCCATCATTCTTGGGATGATTTCAGCTGTGATTTCGGTATACGTAATTTTGGAGAGGACAGCAACAGTTTCGGTTGTGCATAACAGTATGGTATTGGCATTGAGCAGAAGCGTTGGGTTTAGATGGTACCATATCTGACTTTTAGTATCAGTCAACATCTGTGTTCCGAAATATAAAATCAAAAATACATTGCTGTAATTCGGAACACGTTTTCATGGTTTTCATCAGTATTCAGCAGCAGTTGATCAGGCATTTTGGGAAATCAAATATAATATTAATAATTTATCATTGATAAGACAATACTTGATGTTTGAAAAACAACGGGAATGAATGTGAAATTTCTTTCCACTCTCCAATAATGGCTATATTCCGATTTCAACTAGTCAGTACTGTGAATTCACGAACTCTGCTGAAAATCTGTGTTCCCAAATATAAAATCCAAAATGTGCTGTAATTCGGAACACGTTTTCATGGTTTTTATCAGTAATCAGAGCAATTAACAAGCTGATGAAATTTGAATATCATTTTCAGCGCCAATTATTTCAATAACAGGTATTTTATAATATAAAATATGTTATTATTAATTCATTATTAATAAGACAATCCTAAATATTTGAAAAACAATGGAAATAAATGTTACATTCCTTCCCACTCTAAAATAATGACAGTTCACTAAAGCCACACTACCTTTTCATAGTCAGCAATTTCAGCAGAATGTTGTGTCGAAATATTTGGAATGAATAGTATATCTGCTAACAAGTATCTGTCACTTTCAGTGATTTTTTTTTTTATTTCGGAATGAAAAATCAGCAGATCCAGTACTGTCCGTTGAATGTTAGCTATAGTCGATTCTTGCAAGGTGTACGCCCTCTACCGTTGTCTAATATAACTAACGTATGGGCCATTGATTGCTTTGTTTACATCAGTTTGCGACGTTTGCGTGTGTTTTGTACCAGAAGTAGTTGTGTTTTGATTGTCTATAATTTTGTTTGAGAGAAAAGCAAAAAATCCCGATTAAACCTTTATTCATATACCTCTCCAAAATGAGGACAATCCAAATTTGTATTTGAAACTAAGTTGGGAAACAAGGAAGAGCAGATCGATAGAAGAGAGGTGTCGATTCATAACTTGAAGATAGGAAAACAAATGTCTAAACATATGAGAGATTGTTTTTTACACTTTACTAAAAATTTACTCATAGGTAAAATGATATCATCATATGTCATTTCCTTGGACCACATACCTATAAGTGATTATTCCAGGGGTTCTGTGAAAGTCTTCCTGATAAGTACGTGAAAAATGATACATTTTCTACATTCAGTTTTTATATCATGAATATAATTAGAGATTTTTTATTGAGTTGTAAAAAGTCAAGTAATAAAAATTATTCAACTTTACCTTCAAAAGAACATTTTTTCCCCAAAATGTATGATGGATTTCCTTCTGAAAATATTATCAGGGGAATATCCCAGCCATCTATTCGAATTGGAAATCAACATCCCACACAGGTTTTCATGAGAAATCTTGTTCAGTAATGATGAAAACTAACAGCATAATATGTATATGTTGGTATATATATGAGTTTCATCTAGAAGTAGGTAGGTTATCTCATGTTGAACAGAGATGATATAGTCCTCAATCGAAACACAATGAACCACTGGGAAATACAAAGTTCGAAAATAAACAAATAACAAAGCTGAACGTTTGAAAACTCAAAACGAAATGAACATAAACACCATTACCAAACAATGTAAACAATCCGCCAATGGCCCATAGAGTAGTACCGACATTCGCCGTTCTGGCGCTACGATCTTCTCAGTCGCCTATAGGTAATAGCGACAATTCTCAGGAAGTATGAGTCACTAGTGGCGTTAAAGTGACACAAAAATTTTGATAAAAAGTCTTCGGATAGTTCTGTGTGTCAAGAGAGGTCACCGAGGTGGTCTTACCATTATACCATTCTTAGGAGTCTACGAGTAGTTTTTAGATTAAAACCTATTGGCAATTGTAAACCATATCAATAGGTAATATGTTTTTTTTGCATTGGCCCGACCGCAACTTGATGGACATACATATAGTCAATGTGAAAAATTTCACAAACGATAATATTTCCACAAACAACATAAGTTTCGCTAACACATCAGTAGCTTCTTCAATGAAATACTCGCACAATGAGATAGCCTAACATTTATCTGCATAACTCATAATGTCTATAGATGATGTTGATTTCTTTGTATGATTTAATATACAGGGTTACTAGTCACTCGATACATTTCTTTGGAGATGTGATAGGAAAGTTGGAAAGGAGTGAATTTAACCCTACAAAAGTTCATAGTTTTTGAGATATTTAAACGTTTCTGTTTTCTTCTTTCAGCCTTTCAGCTAGAATACATGTTTGGAATGAAGAAGTCCAGAAATAATTTAGACCATAGATAAATTGTGAATACAAAATCGTATTTTTGTTCGTGAACTGCCACAGTTGTCAAAAATTTTTTAAAACTTCCTCAAGGCAATTTAGCTAACTGCGGGTACAAATGCAACTAAAAGTGCTTGATATGGGTTTGTTATTTTAACTGAATAGTAGAAATGCACACATGAAAATTTTCTATTAGTTTTTACTTTTCACAAATCTTGTTCAAAGTGAGAACCTTTATTACAAATATATGCTTGGCAGCGTCTTCTTTGTTATTCTAGTTGTCAAATTATTTCGTATGGCCAGGCAATGCCTCGAGCAAATAAACGGAAATAAAGAACAAATTGTTGCTGTATCGCCAAAAATAAAAATTTTCAAGTATGTTTTCACTATTCGTTTAAAATAACAAACCCGAATCAAGCACTTTTAGTTTCATTCGTACCCAGTTAGGGCTATATGAAGTTTAAAAATTTTTTTGACCAATGTGGCATCGAGATTTTACCCAAAATAACGGCTAGAAAGTGTTAAAATCCATAATTCACAAACGAGAATTAGACTTTCTATTTACAGTTTATCTATGATCTCAATTATTTATAGAATATTTTCATTCCATCAAACATCATAGTGTTGATCTTGTATTCTAGTTGAAGGGTTGAAAACATGTACAGCGGATTTTCGGAAATCTAACTTTTAGAGTAAAACAAAAAAATGAGATATCTCAAATACCGTCAACTTTTGCATGAATGCATATCAGGTAAATTCACTCCTTACCACCTCCCCTATCACATCTCTAAAGGAAGTAAAGGAATGTGTCGAATTACCACTATGTATACAATTCTCCCGTCACGGTTTTTGTTGCCATACTCCCCCGAAACACCTTAACCGATAGGTACTGATGAAAATGTTGTGCATATTTGGTAGGTCTGAGAATCTGTCATAATCTATTTTTTAAATTGAAATTTCAAGATGGCGCATCCAATATGGCAGACCGACTTTGTAATTGATCCGATTCTATTCAAAATTGATATCTGCGAGTTTTCGGGATCGGAGACTATGATTCTTTCCTCAAAATTTGTAAATTCGAGATGGCGGATCTAATATGGCGAACGAGTTCTGTAAATATGATACAATTCTATTCGAAATTGTTATCTGGGAGTTTTCGGGATCGGAGATTATGATACTTTCGTGAAAATTTGGAAATTCAAGATGGCGGATCCAATATGGCGAACAATTTTTTGAATTATGATCCGATTCTATTCAACATCGGTATCTGATGGGGGTTTTCATAGTCGGAGATTATGATTATTTCGTCAAAATGGGGAAATTCATGTTGGTGGATCCAATATGGCCAACGAGATTCTTAATAAATAGTGGTTTGAAAAACTAATGAAAGACGCTTTCATAGATAGCCAAACTAAAAAGAAGTATCTGAATGAATAGTAGTTTGAAAAGACGAATGAGATGAATTGCGGAACTGAATGAAGTAGAAAATAAATAGTAGTTTGAAAAACTGAAGAAACACGCTGTTATAGATAGCAAAACGGAAAAAAAATTGAAAATAGAATAACGTTTGCCGGGTCAGCTAATTTTCTATATAAGTTGAGTAGGAATTTACTAGATTCGTATGTCCTGATTAGACATATGATAGATAGCCCATTTACCCATTGTATTCGTCTGTTTATAAAATTCGACATAATTTATACCTAGTGACATTTTGGACTATTTCGTGATAATACAACATTGGAAAGTTCAGGATGCAATTCACTTACATAATTCTCATCGGACTCATCGTATTCCTCGGCACTGTCGGTATCAAAGTCTGTATCAAAGTGTGTATCAAAGTCTGTATCAAAGTCTGTATCAACGTCTGTATCGTACGCTGAAGTAAGAATAATACCAAAATAAATGTATATTATCAAGATGTTGGATTGCATTGCAGTGAACTGTACTCAACATTTGAATTCAATCCATATTTTGCATTTCATCAACTTATAGGAATGATAATATTAATTACTTCAAAATTTGAACTAAGTCACGTTTTTCTACGTAGGTAATTCGAGAATGCATGTGATATTCAACAATTTTGTATGGGTACAAATTGGTTTTTATGAGTAATTATCATTGCTAGTCAACTGATTTATTTTATTTTTATGTTTTCGAAAAATAATGTACGTAGATCATTTCATGAATTACCTTTATTTGCGAATAATATATATAGTACAGTGTGTGCGATTTCAACCCGCAACACCCTCCTAATTTGGAACTCGTCAACCGATTTTCAAAAACAAAAATTTCATAATATACCACTCAACGAGCTCCATTCGAAAATGTGGACAAATTTGAAATATTCAGATTTTCAAGGCCTACTTTTGTTTGTTGAAAGGATCAAGATTTCAAAAACGACTATTAGGCAATTTTTTTTTCGAAATAGTGACTAGCCTATTCGATTCAGGTATAGCTGAAATACCCGTATACGGAATTTGAACGCAAGATCTCATATAGGGTGTTAGTTATTCAATGGCAAATTTTGATGAAGGAGTTGATATAACCAGTGTAGTAGTTATTCAACAGAGGAACACATTGAATACATAGGTACGAAGTTTCATCGCTGTAACTTCTAGGTCAACAAATAATTAATGAAATTGAAATCGATTTTTTTTTATAATGATCCATAACTTTTTCCTAGGAGATATAGATAATGGTGACTAATCTGGGGAAATATTCTCTATACATAAAAATTTTCATTGTCATCTCAAATTTTCATTCCAAAATCGGTATATTATTATGATCACATCAAACATCAGTATATCTCCTAGCAGTATCTTTAGAGCTGTCATTCTATTTGTGTTATATTCGACAGCTCTTTATCAAGCAAGATGATTTTCAGAGTGACTGTGTGGTGTAGTGTTCAGAATGGCGAATCTCAACTTTTGCTTTATTGATTTTTGGTTGATCTAGAGAGATCTTCCTGTAGAATTTACAGCAATGAAACTTCGTACCTATGTATTCGATGTGTTCCTCTATTGAATAACTACTTCACCGGTTATACCAACTCCTCAAATTTTGATACAGGGTGAATCTAAAAATCAAAAATATCAAAATTTGCCATTGAATAACTAACACCCTGTATGAGATTTTGCGTTCAAATTTCAGGTATGCCTGAATGAAATAGGCTAGTCTCTGTTTCGAAACAAAATTGCCTAATAGTCGTTTTTGCAATTTTGACCTCTTCAACAAACAAAAGTAGGCCTTGAAAATCTGAATATTTCGTTTCTGAAAACCGGTCGACGGGTTCCGAATTAGAAGAGTGTTGCGGGTTGAAATCGCACACACTGTATATATATATACAGTGTGACCCATTTAAGATGGAAGCACCCTTATAAAACTTACATTTTTCAACCGATTGGAATGATTTTTTTTTGTTAGGTAGATATTCAAAAAGTCTATTAGGACACCAAATATCATGAATAAATCTCCATTTCCAGGGCCAACTAATCTGATTTTTCAAGGTCAAAAATCTAAAAAAATTACTAGCGATTTTTTTAGAAAAAATCTGACTACACCACTGGATTTGTGACATTTTCAAATGGGTAACATGTAAATTACGTTGAAATGCGTCAATCAATAAAAAAGTTATAAAGGAATGAAATTTGAAAAATATGCCGTTTAATCAACCCATCAATTTTTATTACTGAACAGATTTCGATGAAACTGTGATCAGTAATATTTCAAGACATCCTGAATCCAGTGGAGTATACAGAATTTTCATAAAATTCCTGAACATGAATTGGTGGGTTGATTAAACGGCATATTTTTCAAATTTCATTCCTTTATAACTTTTTTATTGATTGACGCATTTCAACGTAATTTACATGTTACCCATTTGAAAATGTCACAAATCCAGTGGTGTAGTCAGATTTTTTTCTAAAAAAATCGCTAGTATTTTTTTTAGATTTTTGACCTTGAAAAATCAGATTAGTTGGCCCTGGAAATGGAGATTTATTCATGATATTTGGTGTCCTAATAGACTTTTTGAATATCTACCTAACAAAAAAAAATCATTCAAATCGGTTGAAAAATGTAAGTTTTATAAGGGTGCTTCCATCTTAAATGGGTCACACTGTATATATATTTATATATATACAGTGTGTCTCACTTCCAATGGAAACACCCCTGTATCTTACGTTATCGTTGGGTTAGGATCCTGAAATTTGTTGCAGATGGAGATATACCAAACATGTACTCTATGACCAGGTAGAGTCATCTTCAATGATATACAGTGCTCGCCAACAGCCGTGGAACTACACACATGTCCGGAAAATATCAAGAGAGATATTCTTGAAAATCACTTCGGATTCGAAAACAGGACGTTCAATTCACTAACTTCCCATATTTTGACGCATCATTAACGGTAACGATTTTCTTCATACTATTAACGAATTCATTGAGTCATAATTCATTTCAATGACACCCATAATGATTTCTGCTCCATTGGAACACATCTGATGACAATCTATTCGATTGTAATAGTTCTGATTGTTATTTCATTATCCCTGATGAAAACTGACTTTATGATTATCAATTTCATATTCCGATATGATGCATTTTTCCTCCTGGAATGTCGGTGTTTCTGTGGCTACTGGTGAGCAGTGTATCATTGAAGATTATTCTACTTGAACATTGGTCTCTTTCTTGATCCCAAGAATTTTAGAATCCTACATCAATAATTACGTAAGATGCTGGAGTGCTTCCATGAAAAGTGAGACGAAATTTATTATTTCAGAACTGAAAATGTTTCAGGAGTATGAGTAGGTACTTAGTGAATTAGACGTTTTGCTTTCTGCTCTCGAACACGAAGTGATTTCCAACCTATCTTGTCTGCTATGATTAGACATTGCTGTGAGCAGTAATGGTAATTTCAATGGGTAATTGACTGTTCTTTGGAATATTTCTTGCTTCTGTAGAATATTGCAAAAATATTTTTCTAGTGTTGAGTAGATTAGATACTAATCAGATATCATTCTGTAGCTGAACAGAAATAGTTATTCCATGCATGAAGAGAAAACAAAATTTTTTGTAATTATCTACTACTGAAGAAGATGAAAAATTACTATGCAAACTTCTATTTTGGGTCAAATATCTCGATAACTGTTCATTTTAGCTCAGTTGAAGGTGAAACACTTTTTCAACATAATTGAACAATCAATTCGAGAAATTAGAAATAATTGAAATTTCATCAGTGGCGTAGAAAATATGGGCGGAAAAGTTATCACAACCCTCTGTAGCGCACCTCTGGATAACATTCTCGGAATGTCTTTCTGGTCAAAAAATTAACCATTGAAAGATCAAACTATACATATACCGAATTTGAATGCATTATATTGAATTTTTCTTGAGAAACTATTTTAATTTCTTAACTACAACGCCCTGTATCTCGAGAACTGAACACTTGAAGACCGCATGTCCCTATCTCAGTGATTATGAAATCCCGAGGGCTATCACCTGTCAAGCTTTGTCGGTCGAATTTCGAAACAACCTGTATATATAGTGAGTATAATTATACAGTGTGTCCCACTTACCATACTCACCATGGGTATCTTTTTAACGGTGAGAGATAGTGGAGTTTGTCAAGGCCAACTATAATGTGAAAAAATATTTTGATGAAATCTATTCGTTTTTGTTTTATACGCAAAAAACAGGTTTTGATCATTTTCATATCTCCTCAGTAACTTCTTTATTTATGAAAATATTCAGATAGGACTTTCACATTCTCATGGCAGTTTTTCAAAGTGATTTCGAAAAAAATATGAAATTTATACCAACTCTTCAAGAATTTGAGATATCAGCAGCAACTTTAGTTTTTCAAATGTAAGTCATAGCTCACTATGACTTAGTTACAGATAACTTTTTTTTCTCTTACCGATGATATGTCGCAGTAATAGTTTTGTGTTGATAACAACGGAGTTATCGTCATTTATACAAAAACAAAAAATCATTTGGAAGCCGTCATCTTGAATTTATAAATTTTAACAAAAAAATCAAGATCTCCGACCTCAAAAACCCCCACTTACCAATTTTGAATGGAATCGGACCAAATCTTGTTCGCCATCATGGAGCAGCCATTTTTTTAAATTTCATAGTGTGCTATGACCTACATTTGAAAAACTAAAGTTGGTGCTGATATCTCAAATTCTAGAAGAGTTGGTATAAATTTCATATCTTTTTCGAAATCACTTTGAAAAACTGCCATGAGAATGTGGAATTCCTATTTGAATAATTTCATAAATAAAGAAGTTACGGAGGAGATATGAAAATGATGAAAACCTGTTTCTTGCGTATGAAACAAAAACGAATAGATTTCATCAAAATATTTTTTCACATTATAGTTGGCCTTGACAAACCTCATATTTGGTGTCATTTAACCGACCTCGTATCTCTCACCGTTAAAAAGATACCCATGGTGAGCATGGTAAGTGGGACACACTGTATATTATGATAGGAGGAATATCGAGGGAACTGTTTTAAGCGAGGTTTTGAGCAAACTAGAAAGAAATTATTGGACGTAGCCCTCATGAAGAGTTGACCGCAGACACGTGTTTCGGGCTTTCGGCCCTCATCAGTACGGTGAAAAAGTGCAAAAGATAGGCAATAATTTCTTTTTAGTTTCCTATAATTATGTATATATATGTACGCACGTATTATACTTGTGTACTCTACCTCTATCTATCTACTATAATCACAACGAAATTAATGTAAGCAGATCATTTATAAATTACCTTTATTGCAAATTTTTATTTACAAGGATACAAAATCTATCTTTAAAAAGATGACTAATATCATCAATACGTACTACATATTAAGTGCAGGTATAAGTGACTAGCTATAGGGCTAGGGTGTTATGTTAATAGGGATATCAATCAATGCTTTCAACATATCTTAACTAGGTGATCATTAAACGATAGGGTGCTATCGAAGCAGACATGTTGCCTAAAATTAAAATAAGCTCAACAATGTATAAATATTGTAAGAAATTGAATATTCCTATGAATCCTATCGCATGCGATCATGTGTAATATTATCATGAGAACTGATATGTATTATTTGCTGTATCTTGTCTTTCTTCAAGTAGTACAGGTTTTGTATTTCTTATGTTCAAACATAAAACAGGGTAGGAATCTACCTTTAATCACATTCAGTTTACGATGAGCGGAAATCTGGTAGTTTCAAAAGGCAGTGAAATATATTGCAATCGGTTATAAACGACTAGAGTTGCCTAACACATAAGTACAATTAAAAAAATTAGATTGAATGAAGTTCCACACAAAATTTGGGATTGTTTGAAAAAATTCCAATAATTACCTATACCTACTTATACAATTCTCATCTTCGTTGTTTTTCAAATAAAATTTTTGAGATGAAGATGAGGTAGACATTGATATTCTTTCTGCATTTTTCATCTTACTGTACTCGAAAATAGACTCAGTTTCATATGAATCTGATACCCTTTGAAAGATGAATGAACTGTAGATGGGGCTCCAGTGTATTTTCATGTTGTACTCAATGTGCTCAGACCCAATCGTATTCTTATTTTGTGAATCTCTGGATGCAAAAATACAGAAAAAATACTTCCATACACCAAACGCATAGGTAGGTAGGAGCTATACAAGGTGTTTGAAATATCCATACAAAGGCTTGCGAAGATGACAGTGGACCTCATCTGAACTGCAAAAGTAGACATAGGTAATTTACAAAGTCTCACGGTTTCGATATGTTGTCGCAACCAACAGTCAAAATGTTCCAAATTGTAAAGTAACAATTCACAATTTTAATCAGATAATATAATTAAATGAATTGTTATATCACACACGTGTTATAAAACAAATATCAAACTACGTCATGTTCCATACGTGTGTCATCAAGGTGAGAAAATGTGGGAAAAAAATTAAGAGAAACAACACGAAATTCTCCAATAACCTGAAAACCGTAAGACTGTAAAAACAGTAGTTGTTGTACTTCGCAATTTTTTTTTTAACAATGAAGATATTCTGACTTGGGATGCATTGAACTGAATAACTTTCAATGGTTCTGACAGAATACGATTGGTGTTTTGTGTGAATGATAATGATTCGAGGAATCTCAATCGACTTGGCAGATTCATATTGATAGATTGAACTATAGTCGATACGGGGTGATCCAAATTGAGTGTCCACCATCGGTAGCCTTGATGCTATTGAAAATACAACATTTTTAAAATTATCAAACTAGCGGCATGGAACATTTGAAAAATAACTGAGCATGGCCTTTCGAGTTTGAACGAAAAATGGATTTTCCAAATGAACTCCTTCCTATAATTTTTTTCTGAGAAATAATAGAGCCTAGCAAGAAATTTACTTATAGTTGAAAGTACTGATATTTGTTAATTTTGACAAATTTGTTTCCTCGATAATAACAAAGTTACCAATGGTTGCGGAGGATAACCATCAATTTGAATAACCCTGCATCGTACCCATTAAGGCAGTAGCAGTGTAGCATACGATTTTCAATGTGAAATAACAATGGTGATACCTGAAACGAAGAGAGGCATGAAATAAAAATAATTTATGAATAGAAAGTGAATAGGTAGGTATAGGTACTGTTCCGAATTCAACGTTAAAAAATTTCAAAAATTATGAATCCACTAAAATGACATCAATCTAGACACTCCGATTACATCCATCAGCATATTATGTTGATGCCTTCAAATATAGATATTGCAGAATTATAATAAAAAAACAGAACTTAATATATAATGCGTTTCCTATAGTACCTACATCTAGGAAATTGTAGATACCTTCAGAAAGTTTCAATAAAATATGTCATGAAACTCTTTAGGTATTCACTTATAGGTGCTAACACAGGCACTTATAAGTATCACCCAATTATGAAAAATCATTCAGTTTTGTGCGGAAAAAGTTTCTCGGTTAAAATTCGATAGGAAGCATGATTCTTACGAAAAAAAAAAAACGCGATTCGACACCTAATTTTGAAGGACCTAGTTATACCGAATGATATTTTCCATAATGAGAATGATGTTGTAAAATACTTATCATCATATTCATCATCCGTTTCTTCATTCCCATCACTCGTAAGTAGATTTATAGGCAATAGTAAATTTGTCCTTGGATGAACAGCTACAGAAATATCGGGAGACAATTTTGAACCACCGTGTATTATTAACTACTAGTTCTTAAATATGCCAAACACCCAGCGACGATTATATTTTCAAAACCAGAGGAATGAGCCTTTAGACCACATATAACGTTGTTTCAAATATGAAGAATCTGAATATGATATTTTTTCTATATAAATATTCATAAATATTTACAATTTTGGATATGGATTATCTAAAACCTTCATCGCATGAATTTCTGCAAGATGAGTATCCATTACCATATCAAATCAATCTTTTGCTGGAGATTTCCTTCTTTTGGGCGACACTGCTATACTCCTCAAACTCCTAGATCTCTCGAAGAGAGATGGATCCGTGTAGATGGGTTCGCTAGGATCTTCGAATGGACCTCCGGGAGCAGACAACGGGCATTCCAGATCGGTCCTGGGAAAACCAGCAACGTGTACAGGTCTACCAAAGCCGCCGAAGGGTTTCTGAAGGCTCGATCCGAAAACCGAGAGACTGGAAATGCCGCTGCTGCGCGTGTTCGGGTACGAAGAAGATAAGTTCGAGTTCGCACGGTCTACCAGCATGTTTTTCCTCATGACCATCCAGTATCTTCTGTACGCCAGTCCGGCTAGTAGTGCTCCTGTCAAGAGAATGGCTATGAGAATCATCACAGCGCTGACTAGGCCATGGTATGCCCCGGGAGTCATGCAAACAGTTTCGGGAAGGTACTCAGCTTTTCTAGCTTCCTGTTGCAGTTCTTCTCGAGAGTCGAATACCTGAAACACCAAAAACAACGATGACATCCATGACTACACCGATTCTATACTTGTTTGAAATATTGTAAGGTGGGCTATTTCGGGATTAGCGCACGGAAACAGCGCACGAAAAAACTTTAAGAATAACCATGGAAACGAACATGCCAGTCATAGTAGAAGGAGAAGGAAGACAGAAAGTTTGAACTCGTCTTGTTCTGCGCATGACGGTAACTGCAATATATATAACTGTCATTGTTATTATTTGTTTTCGTGATCGATGTCTCAATCCAAATATGTGAGTTCGAAAATTGAATGAAATGATTTCAAAATGCCCATTTGTATCGTTTCTGGTTATGAATATTCCAACAAATATACGAATGGCACAGATATTGAATATTTTGTTTTTTTAAGGATGGAGACCTAATGAAAAGATGAGTATGGAAGCTCACTGCTGACCGAAAACGAACTAACTTAAATAATGGTACCTACCTTATATTCCTTATATCCTCATTCCAAAGTATTGACCTATCATATCACATTCATATTCCAGCACGTATCTGTTCGCAACATTTCCATGCAAAAATTTTTCGAACAAGTTTGAAAGTACAGTTGTTACACACCTCTAAATCACAAATAAAATTCCTACAGAACATCTTCCGCCATATATTAGGGAAAATGTGCCTGTGTTGGCATACCGGACGAGTTGGCATATTGGTACTTTCTCAGCTTCTAAAAACTTTGCGGCGCAATTAACCTTCTCCTTCTGTTAACTTATTGTGTGCAAGCCGGTAAATGTGTTTGTGGCTACTTCCGACAATAAATAAAAAAGTTTATGACAATTTTGTTTTTTAGAAGGTAAGAAATGTTTAATTTACTCTTATAACTTGCTGCAAAACATGAACATCCAATATCTTTTTGAATTCCAACCTCAAAATTCTACGGTATAACCGTTGCTATGTTGTAACTGGTTGTAAGTAAATAGGTCTTATTTTTTGAAAAGCGTTTTCGGGCGAGTTGGCATACTGTTGATTCGGGCTAGTTGGCATAGTATGCCAACTCGCCCTTACGTAAAAAAATCAATAAGTTATTTTGTTGTTGCAGATTTGAGTGAACATGGTTGGAAAGTACCTACCAACGGAAAAGTAATCGTCATTAATGGGTCGAAGCATATTTTTGGGTTCTGTTTATTTTAGTTTTAGATATTTATCATTGTACCTGACTGTATAAGTTAAGCGTTACATTTCCGTTATATTTTTTATTGAATGAACTTTGACAATGACATCTCATTTAATATTTATTTTCACTTCAAGTGAGTCCAGTTTGGGCAAGATGGCATACCATGCCATCTTACCCGGAATATTCAGCCCGAGATGGCATAGCGAGGTGATTTGAAAAAAATATATACTCAACCTAAAAACACAGTTAGGGTTCTATCAATTTTTGTTGTTGTTAGGCTAGGTATTTTCCTATTCAACTACCAAGTTTCAGCCCGCAAATCTCAAAAATAACTTGAAAAAAAAATATTTACAAAATGTATGCCAACTTAGGCATATTTCCCTAGGTTAGAAATAAATGAACTCAATTTCTCACAAAATATGAATTGCCGCAAAGATTTGAATAACAAAAAGCAAAAAATTATACTCATATTGTCGATGTCAAAGCAGAAGAAACATCAACTCCAGAATTTGAATGTGTCAGAATTGACACAATGGTGGATCATTCGATGGAATTGGCAATGCATAATAATTTGTATGTATTTGCGATTGTGAATTACCTCAAGATAACAAATGTTAGTATCAGTGAAATAGTAAAAATGGAAGAAATAGGTACCTATACCTATTATTATATAAATAGAATTATTTCTAGAAAGATCGAGAACCTCATAGATATTTCAATAAACTAAATTAAATTCATAGCGCACGCCTATGGCCACTGTATCTGTCTTTGACTAGCAGCTGTCATTTTGGTATCGCAGATGACGATGACACATAATATGCGCCTAGGCACACCATCTTCTCCTTCCACTATGCCAAACAGTGTATTGTCAGCATTATTTCCTGTCAATCAAATTTATTCCGACAAAATGAACTAGGAAGAAAATCCCGAAATTCCTGATAATATCCTTGAGCAAGCGGCACCAGCGACCGCGTATTTATTACCTACCAGTATTTTCAAGTTTTTTCATTCCTACAACTGTGAAAATAAAAATGTTCCAAGTTTCTTTTGTGTTTTTTCATGTAGTATTTTATTATTATATTTTCATTTTCAACGAAGTGTAATAAGAAATATCATTCATTACATGTCCAAAAATGATTTTTTCGTGCTTGCATAACTTCCCGTGTTCGGCTTCGCCTCACAGGAGAATTTGTCACACGCGCATGAACAAATCCCTATTTCCGGACTCGTAATGAATTATAATATTACCTCTATCATTTCCCGTACAAACTCCTTTTCCTCATCCTCTTTTTCTTCCCCAGAATCTCCCTCACTCGTTACTTTGATAGCTTTATCTTCAGAAGATACGTGGGTGAACGAAACGATAGTTTCATTTGATTCAATCGTATCCTCGACACTTGTCACCGTGTTATTGGTTTCGAGATCTAAAGTTGCATTCACTTCCCTTCTTCGTCTTCCAAATGAGGGTTCAGATCTACCGGAACCCATCTGGCAGTAAGCAGGTTGGCAGCCGTCTCTGCAAGTTCGGACTGTAGCTTCGAATACTAGGAAGTTGGATTCGGGTAGTTTGAAGGCATTGAAGCGCGCTTCCAAGCTGTCGCTGTTCCTGCCTTTGTCCAATTCCGGAAAGACGTAACTATCCACAGGACAACTGGAAAAATATATGGGGTGAGAAGTCACGACATGCCAGGCATAGTTTATTGATGTCATATAGAGGAAGTCGAAGTAAGATGATATGTATACCGGGTGGCGTATACCCGTTCCCCAGTATAGCACAGAGCGCACCATCCGATATGGTGCTCTGAAATTAACTCACTGGACTTTGTTTATAATCAATTTCACGATTACACAACAAACCCCAGTACGTTTCAGAGCACATATCTGAAGGTACAAAGCTCCACGCGGGAATTATTCACAACGAATATTCGTGATGTATCTCTTCATAAATATAATGCTGATCTGGTTTTACTGGACTTTTTCCAGATTTGAACCTATTTTAACTTCAGGACTGATAATTTGAATTTTCGACCTTGGCTTTTTGATAAAAATTGTTTGCTGTTGATATGTATTACTTAGTAGAGTATACCAACCCTTTGACTCTTTTTCGCTCCTTAACAATGTTCATAATTATCTTTTAGGTACTTTGAATACATCAATTTTGTGTCTGATGATGGCCTGTGGCCGCAACTAGTTACACTACTGATATTGAATAATTTTTCGTGGTCGACAGACTTCGGGACTTTTATTGTTTCTTCTATAAACGACGTGGTCCAAAAAATATAGGCTGATTTCAAAATCGAATTACTCATGGATTCCTTAACTAATTGCTATTCGGTGTTAAAAGTTGGCTAGCCCAATCTTTCAGTTACTCGAGTCAGAGCAATGATACTACAAATATTCCAGATCAACGATCTGCAGGTTGATAATTGAAGTATTCTAAAATTGCAGCGTTGTTACACTTCCATTTGAGCAAATATTTTTTATGTTTTTTTTTCGGGTGTGACCATAGTCATGGAGTCTCTCGAAACATATTAGAAATTTTTTCAATCGAACCCTCTATGTTGGAGATATAATTTTTTCTTCAAAATGATGCATTTCATCAATTAATAATTGAATAAAATTGAATGTTCGTAATGTTTTTTTGGAAAATTCACATTATGTAGATAGTTCTGGATGATGTGAGAGTGTCCTGATACAAAAATTCAAAATGAGATACATACAGGATGAGATTAAAAGTATTGTGGGATTCGATGAAAAAAAAAAACATATGTCTATGATTTGAAAATCTGCCTCTAAAATTTGATACCCTAGTTCTCAGTGATATTATAATTACATTTTTATTTCGATAATAACATTGCAACTTTATGATCTGTGCTCGATCTATTGTCTTCATCAATAAATCAGTTATTTTCTCGTTATTACCTAGCATGATTTTGAACTAGGGTTTCATTGTGGCAGTTCCTAGATTTTTTTACAACCCACGATTTAGTGAAGATTACACGAGGAATAGTTCATGGGTATATTATTATTGAGATAACAAAAAATCAATCATGTTCTAATTGTGAGGCGGGGTAAGGAATGTCTGAAAAATAGGTACATATAACATTTTTCAGAACATATATTAACACAGCTAAGACAAAATAATGTACCTACATTTATATTTCAGCTAATAAACGTAGGTGAATGTTTCTTATTGCACTTACAGTTCAAAAAAGAACAATAAAATTAATCAAGTTATGAAAGAATTACAATAGGGATCCTTCTTGTGAGATTTCAAATTTGCAATATCAATTATATCGTTGTATATAAAGTCTTGTTCATTAGTTCTGACTGTGCACGAAAAAGCTGAGGCGTTTAACTTTTCTTGACCTAAAGTCGATAGTGCATATTTATTTTCACCCGCTAGCTTCTCTCACCCAAAAAATTATTTGTCGCTGGTATAGGCATACAGAGCCACGCGAACTATATCAAAGTTTGGATAAATGCTCTCTCCAAATTCGCAGGAACCGAGATAGACTTTTAAATGGTCCAGAATCTGGTTTTATCGAACTTTTTTCTGAAGAAATGTGACATTGAAAGTGTATGCATTCCTGAAGTGAAGTTTCTTAAGGCATATCTTTTTGCACCAAATTGCCCGCCTCCTAAAATCTGCCGCCCTATAGGCTCCAGCCTACTCAGACTGCTTATAATGGCACTATAGAATGGCGTAAAAATATATACCAGGTTATATTTAATTTTCTTAACCCAAGACAATTTCTGGTAAAACTGGAAGTGATATTCAATTGTTTTTTCATGAAAAATATGACCATCAAGAAACTTCATCAATTTTCAAATTTTTTTCTGCCTATTGCATGGTTATAGGAATACAGGGTATTTTTCGAATTTGGGCAAAAACTAAGAGTTTAACTATCTGGATCGTATTTTTCCAAAAAATTATTTACCAAATTCGGGAGAAGTATTTTTATATATGTATATTTCATGTATACCTACTTTGACTTTCGCTATGTCATCAACAAGAGGTTTTGACCAAACTATGTTTTCAAAATATTCTTAAAAATAATCTAGTAGGTATAATAGAAATTGAGAAGAGAAACAGAGTTATTCAAAAGTAGGAACATCGATTGGATACAATTCATCTACGAATGTTGTTCCGCTCATTTCCCCTTTCTACAAATGTCGTGTTGGGATTTTAATGTAAAATTGAAAAAAAAATCAAATCCGCTTTCGGTTTTCAACATTATTTTCCCAGAGTAAGAATGGTCAGAGTCACCCTCAAGAATAATGATTCGATTTTCAACAGTGATGATTATGATTTGCACCTTTGGAATACTATAATCAATCAATAGAGCTTCTTCATCAGTATGCTCATTTAAGAAATCATCAGAATCTCATGTGTAATCTCGGAGAAACTTGACAAAATATTTTGACTTGAATAAGACTTGACTTACTCATTTTAGAAAATCAGGCACTTATATTTCAAAAGCTTTCGAAGCTATATCTGAAATAAAAGAATGCAAAACTCTCATATTTACCCAAATCTGTCGATGAGCTGTACTGATCTTCCTGAGTATGGATCTCTTGCCACAACATTTGTTGCGAAGATGTCGGTGGCGTAGTTATAACCATCTTGAGCCTCTAGTCTGAAAGTAAGTGGATCTCCGACGGCAATAGTAGTAGTAGGTCTTCCTTGATATAATATCATCAATCGCACTTTGGAACTGAGAGTGTTTTCTGCTGGTAGATACTCTATTGGAATTGGACTTCCAGACCTGCCAGATATACCGAAGTATGAATACTGAATATTGTTATATCTAATTTTAAAGTGAGTTCTTACCCTGCACCAATGAACCCTGAGGAAACAACTGCTTCTCCGGGTCCTCTGAACAGACATGTCAAATTAAATCGTTTATCTTTGCCTGTTTGTACGAAATCGCTGAATTGCACAACTGCTATGTTGGTCATGCTATCGCCGTACCTCTGGGTACCGCATTCAGGGTACCCTTGTGCTCCACTTATGCGCAAGACGTTGACGGTGCCTCCATTTCCACGGAAGAAACATCTATCGTAGAAGCCATACGTATAAATTCTGCCGTAAAAGGGTTCCGGGGTGCGTAGAGTGAATTCCATGCCGTCTTCATTGCAAACTTGACTCACTGGGAAAATAAGACAAGTTGAGTGTAGCGAAGAAATTTATTAACTAGGTACATGATATATGCCGAGTTGACAATAAGATATTAATAACAAATTTTACCATCTAAGCAGTCTCCATCTACACCTTGTCTGCTCACTTCTCGCTCGTAAAAATCGTAGGTTCCTGTGTTATCGAAGTATTGAGGATTATCTATTTCCAAATCTCTCGAGTCTCTATCGCTAAGCTCGCAATTTTCTGATCTTTCTCCTCGCTCACCTTCGTACCCGCCAATTTGAGATTCCCTGAAAAGTCTTAATGTTTTTAATATTATAACTCTACTCATTCTACTCTACTCACTTGTAGTTGAAGGCTCTGCATATGAATTCTCTCGATTCCACACACTCTCGCTCACAGTCTCTCAGTGAGCGAGCATATAGCCCTCGCTTTACATACTCCTTCCTCATCCTATTGTGTGACCCCAGCTGCTTGAAGTTATCCCCTTCTTCACACCTGGAACTGTATGGTCTGTTCGCCCCGACTCCTCCAAAGCTGTCATAGATTGGGCCATCTGGTCCAGGAGATAATGGTCGTCTCCGGTCCCCAGATGGTCTGTCATACGGAGGTCTTTCATAAGTTGGTCTTTCGTACGGTGGTCTTTCATACGGAGGTCTTTCAATTGGTGGGCGTCCATCAACTGGACGGCCACTGGGTCTTCTATCTGGCCGGAAAATCCATTTATTTCCACCGTTTCGCTCATCGTCATAATATTCGTACCTGTTGGCGTTTCTATCACCATATCTATCTCCGTATCTGTCTCCGTACCTATCACCGTTTCTATCTCCGTACCGATCTCCATATCTATCTCCATATCGATCTCCGTGTCTGTTTCCATACCTACTACCTCCTATTCCACCATATCGGTTACCTAACTGCTCATCATCTCCATATCTTCCACCATATCCACCGTATCTATCCCCGTAAGCACCACCATACTTTCCTCCATTTCTGTCTGGCAAGTCCGGGTACCTATCAGCATATCTATCTCCATATCTATCACCGTTCCTGTCTCCGTATTTCGGATCGTAACGATCTCTGGGAGGAGGGTAGTATTTATCGGGTTTTCCGCTAGAGGAAGGTGGATAGTAAGGGTAGCGGTTGTGTGGTCTCTTGGGATAATTGCCACCGCTAGAAGATGGGTGGTAGGATGGCCCAATGGGGTATCTTCCGTCATCTCTGTCAGGGTATCTGTCATCTGGGTACCGGTCGTAAGGTCTGGCCGGATATTTGCCTCCGCTTGAAGAAGGTGGATATCTTCCAGGACCTCTGTCGGGGTATTTTTCGTTGGGGTACCTATCTTCGTATTCGGGATATCTATCATGTGGTCTTCCAATGGGGTAGTTTCCATCATAGCCTGCGCCAATAGGTGGAAGTCTGCTGGGAGGGTATCTAGGAGGATATCTCTCTCCAGTACTACCCCCGCTACCTGGTGGGTACCTGTTTCCTGGTCTACTCCGGTCATCTCCGGGGTATCTGTCATCTCCTGGCCGGTAGACGCTATTGCTACCATCGCTGGGTCTTTGTCCAGATCCTTCGCCATCACCTCCAACTAAAAATATAATCAAAATTTCTACATTTGAGAACTCGGAAATCTGGGACATTGCCAGAGTTCTAATCAGAAAAATCCTTGTTCATCTAGTGAATCACAATATGGCATCATCAAAATGAATGAGAATATAATCATGACTTGTCTGCTAAATGAAAATATAGTATTGGATTTATAGGAGACCCAATTTGGTGCCACCTCTATGTACTTAAATTCGTATTATGCCAATGAGAAGTAAATTCATTATTCTGATTCAATTTCTGAAGGAGAATGGGGAGAAAAGCGGTACAGTTAAGATGAGAGCTCAACGATCATTCCTATTCGAATAAAACTTTGGGCACATGAAAACTAGATATAAGAATATATCTGAGATTTCTGTAAAACCTATTATCTCTATACAGGAGAGCAGATAAGGAGACGCTCCTTTTCATTTCCTAATAATCGAGTTTGCTTTATTCCGATTTAAGGCTCAACAATACCGAACAAAAATACGTTTTTGGTACAAAATTGTTCGGAGCATTCCATAGATGACTTGATATTCCATAAATATACCATAAAAAAGTTCGAGACGTATAATTAATAAGCTAGTCCATCTTTGATGCTCTCCTAGATGAGTTCGATCAACGGAAGTTGACCTCGTACACGGTATTCAGGTTTTTATGTTACCACTAACCAAAATGTCATTCCAATCGCAATAACCGTTGAGAAATATATCATCTTAAAACCACATTCTGATGTTCACCTCCAAGGGTGAATTTATCCGAAGAGTATATACTTAGAGAATAATTTCCTTCGAACTTCGAGTTTTTATGAATGTATTATCACTTACGCATTAAATTTTCGTAGTAGTCATAGTCAGCATCGTAGATGATCCTCATGCCGTCTCTCTGGTTATACCTGGTTAATCTGCAGGTTCTGTACCGTTCACTGTACTCTGCGGAGCGACACTGGAAGCTCGGTTGTCTCAGGCATTCATCCAGGCATTCGCTGAGAGATCTTCCGGATATTTCAGAATGGTGTTCGCCTCCTAAACGACTGTTTCGGTACCTCTGGAATGCTGTGTCCGGTTTCTTCCCACTAAAGAGGTGGGAGGTGACCGAATTGTCTGGGTACTCCGAGCCACGAGCTGAAAGGAAAGTGTTTTCTAATTGGGCTTTGATGAAAATTGTTCAGGAAGGATGGAATAGTCTAGGCTTTAGGATATCGACACTTACGACTGTCTAGACAAGCAAAATCATAAAAATGGTGCGATGGACTGCTTGCCACGCCGATATCGTCTTTTTGCGATACTGAGTCTTCTTCCGATAGGGTGCACTGTTTCGTCATTTCGTCGTATTCTATGGATCTACAGAAGTACTTTTCTGCCCTAACACACATTGCTTGGCAGTCATCTAGGGTAAGGTTGGTAAACATGTCTACCTCGAAAGGACCGCCCAATCTTTTGTTTTCTTCTTTGATGAAGACGGCCAAGCCATCGCATCTTCGTTCAGCTTGAAAAATAATGCATTATTAAGGTTTAGTTAACACAGATTGATCCCAGAGATAGAGGGGCATCACATTCATGCCACACATCATATCCGTGACTCGAAATGAGAGTCCAACTGAAATCACGAAGACTGCTATTCCGTACCATTTTGGTCATTTTATGATTTATATTATAATGCCAAATGAAACCACAGTATTAAGCGACTCCTCATTCAACTTCAAAATTGATTGATTCCGTTTGTTATTTAAATAGACAAGAGTGTGAGGTTCCAGTGAGTCTCTGGGTTGTTAAGGAGCCTCACAATTCACCAACATTTCAAGTCCCAAATCCGATGAAATGTGACGAATATTGCGAGAGTTTTGTGAAATGAAGAGTTCCCTGGCAATACCAATGATGTTTTCTTGTAATTCGCATTGTTATCTAGCGAGACATGAATGTGACATCCCAGGGATGTTTTTGTTTCCTGGGTTGTTTTAGGACTATGGTTTATATGGCTTACCGTTAAGGCAGGTGTTTTCCAGATAGTCGGAATCAGGATCATCCACTAGTAGCTCCGGATGCGTTCTCCTGGTAAACCTACTGAGCGTGCACGTTCTCATGTTGGAATCAAAGGTGGCAGAGCGACAAACGAAACTAAATTCATTGAGACACTTGTCCTCGCACTCGGTTCTGTTCGCAGCAGTCATTTCTTTTATGTCTGGAGCTGGAAGTTTCAATTTTTTTCGAGGGTGTCTTTCGAATATGTAGCGCCTATTGGGACATTCTCTTTCTGGCCTATTTGCTAAAATGGAAGATATTAGTTTCACGAAATTCGATAATGAACCGCGACATCACGATGCACCTACATGTTCGTAGGAGAACAGACTTACACGAGATGCAAACTTCTGTAAAGTGGACGCTGTTCGGCACCAGCATCAGGCTGCCAATACCCTCGGGCCTGGCAGATTCAGCGGTCAGATAGCAAGTGCTCTCTTCATAATCTGTCCCGCCACTATACGTGGCTATCCGACTTCCGGGTTGGAAATCGAAGGAAGCGCAGTTCCTCACTATGTTGTTTGAAGACCTGTCTCGTGTGCACAGATCCTCGCACTTTTCCAGAACCATGAACGGCGGAGCAGTGTCTCTGACAATGTCGTCATCGAAGCCTTGCAGCTGAATGTTTGGTAATCGTTCGTACATGATTTTTCCATTCATGGATCCGGAGCCGCAGGACGTTTGAGCTAGAAGAATGAAATAATCGTTGTGGACTGAAGAGCAAGGACAGTATCAGATTTATTAACTACACATTTTCTAGTTGTATTTCTGAAAGCGTCAATGGTATTCCAGAAAGCGTCATTTTAATTCAAATTGATATTTTCTGAAGTACAAATGAAACTTTCTGAAATTCAATTGACTATCAATTGACTATTCTGAAATACAATTGACGCTTTCTGAAATTGAATTGACTATTCAGAAAAACAGTTGACGCTTTCTGAAATATAAGTGACTATTCTGAAATACAATTAAAGCTTTCTGTGAAATTGAATTGTCTATTCTGAAATTCTATTGACGCTTTCTGAAATACAAGTAATTATTCTGAAATGCAATTGACGCTTCCTGAAATACACATGGAAAAGGTGTAGAATATGGGTTCCTGATGGTCTCAGAGGGCTACCTAAACGAATGGAAACTATCTGTAAATATACTGAAAGAACTGCGCAGGTTTCGGACAGATCTGGTACCGCGCCACTTTATAGGTTGAGTAAAATAAGAAAAATATACAGGATCTGGCACAGGATTGAATGATTTTGAAAAGGTTATTGTGGAAATACTGTTTATTGGACAGGGTAGGTTGCGTTCGGCCCAATTTTCGATTCACCCAATTTTTGATTGGCCCAAAATTCGATTTGCCCGATTGTCGATTCACCCAATTTTCGATTCACCCAATTTTTGATTTGCCCACCATCTCCGAATATACCCGAACGAGGCGTTGTTGTCAAATCTGAATGAAGAATCATTCTGGGCTAATCATTATTATTTATTTAATTTTTTTTATACACATAATATGTATGTATGTATGGTACATATTTCAATTTGCCTAATTTTCGATCCACCCAACTTCCGATTCGCCCAATTTTCGATTCACCCAATTTTTGATTCACCCAATTTTTGATTCACCCAATTTTCGATTCACCCCATTTTCGATTAGCCCCAAATTCAATTCACCCTTTCGATTGAATGAAATTCTGAGCGACCCGAATTTTGACGTAATATAAGGAAGAAAAATATCCTTTTCTGCATGAGGAAGGAGACTTTCTTTTCCAAACTACCTTACCTAACCTAACCTACCCTACCTAACCTACCCTACCTAACGTAGCTAACTCGGCCGAATCGAAAATTGGGCGAATCGAAAATTGGGGGGAACAAAAATTGGACAAATCGAAAATTTTGGCGAATCGAAAATTGGGTCAAACGAGATTTTCCCATTGGACAAACGTCAAATAGTGATATAATTGTGGTTTATTGTTGAAGGTTTGTGTTACAATGCCAAATTGGCCGGTTAATCAACGGATCTTTGCTGTAAAATCATTCATCCTGACCCAGTCCATTGTGCAAACCCAGAGGCGTTTTCGCCGTGAAGGCAGTGCATGGCAGTGCGGGCTGAAGTCCCATCAAGAAATGCAATTCCGAGATGGGTAAGAGATATAGACGAAAAGAACAGTGTGAACTCGAAATCAGGTATATCGTTGGAATGTTAATATCTATGAGAACATGACTAGCTACTCGTATTAGTATCTAAATTCATGAAGTCACTATCGGCGAGATGAAAACGATCGAAACGGATAAGCGAATATTTCGAACTAATATATTTTGATAATGATATTTCAACTAATACTTTGATATTCTGAGAGAAATAATTCAATTTATAATTCCATTCGGATAATCTTGAATCATTCTAGGAAAGTATACCAGTATATCTGAAAAATTTGGTTTATTATTAGATTTAGGAAAAAAGTCTATCCTCATTGAAAGTTCTGTAAGGCCTTACACCTCTAAATGTCAAAAAATATACATTTTGCTCAGGAGTAGACGTATCTTTATTTTCGACAATATCGAAAATTATCATATAGAAAAGTTGACTATAATTGGAAACTACTTTCAAATATCTCATAACATCTACCTACGATGAAAATCATGTTTTATTATTTCTTACAATAATTTCTGATCGATTCATATGGAAAACTTTTCATTATTAATTTTACGGAACAAGTCGAGGAAAAAAGCATTTTTCATAAAAAGTTCTGCAATGTCAAAAACCAAGAATGCAGACATCAGTTGCCAATTTTTTTCAGTCATATATGTCGAAAAATCTTGAAGAATTTGTGAAAAGTGAGAAACCCAGATTTTCATCGTATATAGACAATGAATTTCATTAGATATTTGAACGTAGTTTTCAATTCTAGTCAACTTCTTTCGATGATGATTTTCGATAGGTATTGTAGAACATGAAGGTACTTTACTCTTGAGCAAAATCAATGTTTTTCTGGAACATATAGGCATGGTTGAGTGCTCAGCATTGGCCGGCAACACCAGAGACAATAAAACGATGAAGGCCCAATACTGATTTACTTCACTGGCAAAGTGACTACAAGAATGACGTTAAACTCATTTCCCCAGCAAAGACAGCATTGGGCCAATATTTTCCCGGTAGTTAAAAATTGATTATTATCATAACAACAAGAGTTACATCAAAATTATCTCACTTGTGCAAATCGAAGTCAAGAAAAATTGATGAGAATCACAGCGAAGAGACAATGATGTCTCTTCGCTGAGAATCATAAACCACATTGAATAATTGATTGAAAAAGGGGAAAAGGAAAACTATATTGAGTGACAGTTTCGTTAACATTCAGAGTACCTATGAGTTTAACTTAAAATTATTTATCGCCATGACAATTCAGAACTACAACGAAAGCTATTTGGTTTCGCAAATTAATCGTAACATCCGCATAATGTATCGCTCAAAAGTCTATGAAAAATCTTTTCTAATATAAACACAATATGGAACTTTTATTTAATTGATTCTCCCAAAATTCAATATAAAAGAAGGAACAATCCGAATAAAATAAGACAGTCTGAAGTCTGAAGCAGTCTTGATCAGTCTCCAATAAGATGTCTTGATCCCCGTTGTGTTAGTTGAAAGTTTTGTTAGTAAGCCTCGGGAAAGATTGAAGAATTGACCGGAATATGAAATGTTAAGTCGTGACTCAATACAGAACTTCTCCAGCAGACTTTGTATTTTTGTATCTGTTTATCAAACATACTACATTCGAATAGTACCAAGTGCTAGTGAACTTCGTTAATATCACCTGTGTAAATAACCATTGACTACCCGTCTGAACATTGATAAGGTAAATCTATTGTAAACTGTAAGCTTTTGTGGCTTAGACGTAAAAGTGGAGTGAATCTCTCGCCAATTAAACACAAGTGAACAGTGGAACAACAATAATGTTCAATTTAAAATGTAAGCAAACTCTAATGCTGTTGCCTGTAACCTCTGCCTGACCATACTACCTGATGAATGTCTCAGTAACTATCTATATGGTGTCTTAATGTCTACAATCTCAGTCTGCCTCCTGCCTCAATAATCACGAACCCATTGATCGTAAAATAACTTTGTGACCCACTGTAGTAGGCCAACGAACGAAAAAAGTTGGGGGCTTTACATAATATGACCTTGCACATATATTGTATTACGAATTGTTGCAAAGATTTAGGGAGGATGCAATTTGATGTTCTGCACACGGAATCAGCCTGAGAAGTAGTTTCATGCCGATATCTGCCATTTCGTAGTATCATCTCAATATCTGTTGTATAATATATTATTAAGTTGAGGGCTAGCACAAACCGAATTTATCCATCTAGTATAATCTTTATTCCATGTATATTTGAATGAATTCAGTGAACCAAAACGTGATGTGTACATATACTTCAATAAATAGTTTCTTACCTTTGGTCATCATCTTCAGTACCGTAAGAACAGTGATAGCTTGCACCATGCTGGGAACGTAGGGATAATTTTTCATTTTGGTCCTGTCAAATGCCTCTCGAACTATCTGGACATACTTTTACCTCTGTGGGAAAACAAAGAATGACGATTATATTGTACAATTTAACTCTGATCGGTTTTAAGTAGGTATGCATGAATGGGCATGCATGCATGGATAAAATAGTATCAAAGGAAAATCTATTGACAAATCGGCGATACAATAATGCCGCCTAACTGTAAATTCGACAATACAAAAATTCGAATATATTTTGGTAGGTCGCTTCCTGTTTCCCACGCACATCAACTGGGTTATACTAGATTTATCGAATGGGCCATGGCTTTACTCAAAAAATAATAACTCAAACCATGTTGATTGCATTTATTTCGAGGAAAACGGTCTCAGCTGATTGAATCAGTCATCAGAAAGTGGAGAATCCCTCAGGAATCCGTGCTTCGCCTGGTTCCTCTTAATTCTAAAAATCGTCCTAAAATGTTTCATATAGATGATCTAGCTAGCATCAGACAATTCCGCAGAACACAATAATATTATGCATGTTGCAGGGGCGTCATCTCAGTCAAGAAACTCATACACAATGTTCGTAGGTGATTTTTTTTGGGTTCAAGGTCAACTGCCTTCAAATTGAAGAACAGAATTCATGCAGAGTGATGACAACTCCATTTCAGTGTATACCAGGAGCGGTCAAAAAAATCAGACAAAGAAATTTTCATATGATTCTGTAGGTTAACCGAGCAGACGTATGTTCTCCAAATTTTTTTAGATTTTCTTAGATTTTCTTCTATAGTTTCATCAAATAAGAATATCTCAATGAGGTTTATAACTACTATGGTTATCAAGTGGTGAACAAGACAAGCAAGGGATACCGACTCAATTTTTCAATATCTAGCGAAATAATTCCCTAACTCACTCAAATTCTTTAATTTCATCCGAATCAACTATTATCACTCACATAGATTAACGTCTACGAGGGCAACTAACAAAATTTTCACTCATAATATCACGAGAGCTTCAATTATTTCCGGAAATTTTTTCGAGAACACAGAAGATTCGGTAAGAAAATTTCACACTGAAATATTATCAAAAAATTACTTGGATAATGACGATTTCTGATGATTTTGACATTTGAATAGTAGGCTTCGTATGTTAACTCAAAAAAATAATATATTTTTTCAATTACGTATGTCATTCTTCATGTCAAAACTGAAGAGTAGGTATAATAACATAGTGTTTATATGAAAATGACGGTTGTTTGTGACTAAATGTAAGAATTAACGTAGAGTAACAACATGTATTTTTTGTAAATTTCGAATTTGCAACTAAGCTTGCAAATTGCAAGTATACCTACATAATATTATATGATGAACTGTTGATCAATGATTTTTATTTATTGACTTATAGAATTAACTCGAAATATTCTGAAGTTGAATGTAGATGTCATTCAACCTATAAACGTCAAAAAATTTCCAGTGTAATTTCATGCTTCGTCCTCCAAGAAGGGGGAAACAATTTCCAAGAAATTTGTTTAGTTGCTATGGTAACGATAGGAAATACAGGCTTTAAATTGATCGAAAATGTTTGGTGTGAAATTTTCAGAATAATCCTATGTCCCGTTCTTCATAAACGTCGAGCGTGACGCACTCTATACCTACACGGAAAAAAAGTTTTGTTCCACCAACAAAATAATTTTGGTCATTTTTTTTTGATAAGTTAAACACAATTTTGCGGAATCTACATATGTTCATTCCAAATAAGCGACTTATTCAAGAGACAAAATAATTTGTTTGAAATATTTGCTAAATGAACAAGAGTTTCATTTTATCCAACAACATTTATAGTTAGCATAACACAAATTTTGTTGATCCAACTATCATCTCATTGTTCAATCAATCATATAATGCATCTTGTCTATTTGACAAAATTAAATTAATTTTGACAAAGATATAACTATATAAATACAACATCATATTATGTTGATTCAACAATCATTTCATTGTGCAACCAATCAAAGGTTATTTTCTATTCGACAAAATTGAATTTATTATGACAACAATTGATTCAACACATCACTATAGCAAGAAATAATATGTTGTTATTTCAAACAGAATATTTTGTTGAACCGAACCCACAGATACATTATATCAAACAAATATTCTGTTGAATGATTATCTAGTTGCATTTTTGCCACCAGGTGGCGTTTCTTCCCACCTTCCTACGCTCACCTCGATTGGGGTGTACCGGGTGTACCACTATAAGAAAGGACGCCGGCTGTATCTCGGAAACTATTTGCCGCACAGGTTTCGGAAAAAAATATGAATGATGAAAGTGGCCAAGAGAAATCTCTGGAAATTATTTTCAAGTTTTCAGGACAGCCGCTAGAGGGTGTAATTGCATTTGCCAGTTTAATAAACTGGTTTCTATGAAAATTTGATATATCAAGACATATCGAAAACACTTTTTTCATGTTCTCGAGTTGATTTTCAATCTTTCCGATCAAAAAAACTTGCGCTAGCTCTTCAAATAAAAGAGGGAAGGAAGGATGAATAGTACTTTGAGAAAACTCTTATTACTACAGTTTGGTGTAACGGAATTCAACGATCTTGGTCTCATTATGAAGGTTTTTTCATAGATCAATGTTTTTTTCTGGTTCTTCCAGATGAATCACGAATCCAGTCGATTTAAATCCTGCGGTGGCCGCTAGATGGCATCGTTTGAAAAATCAGACAATTTTCCATTTTTTCGAGAACTCCAAATTGAACCATACATTTATTCCACTCTAATATGAAAGTAGAGCAAACGAGAAGAAGAATGGTGAAAACTGCGAATTGATACCTCTTGAGGAACCGGTGAAATACTCGAAATAGTATTATGAAAATATTCACCACAGGAATCTAACTTCAATAATCGTAATTAGAAATATTCTGTATCTATGAAGTTATATCTCACAAAAGTGGAGGAGACTCATAGTAATGACATAGCTAATTGAAATGTAAGTAGTGAGTAGGCTCAGGAATGAGAAAAGGCAATTAAGTTGGCTTTGAATGAAAGGAACGTCAAAATATAATTGAAGTTCTATTGGACGTTTTCACTGTTCATTATGGATTGCTTCTTTGTCAAAATGCCGATATCGAATGAGGAGGCATTTGACATGCTATCAGTTTAAATTTTATTAATATTATTCCAAGTATTTCTCCGGTTCTTCGAGAGGTATCAACTCGCGGTTTTCACGATTTTTCTTCTCGTTTACTTTACTTTCATATTGTGGCAGAAAAAATATATGCTTCCATTTGAAATTCTCGGAAAAAAGTGACAAATTGGCTGATTTTTCAAACGATGCCATCTAGCGGCCACCATGGGTTTTAAATCGACTTGATTCGTGATTTATCCCAAGATCTGAAAAAAACCCTGTATAATGAGACCAAGATCATTGAATTCCGTTACACCAAACTGTGGAGTTTTTCCAAAGTACTATTGATCTTTCCATCACTCTTTTATTTAAAGAGCTAGCGCATTTTTTTTTGATCGAAATGATTGGAAATCAACTCCAGAATATGAAAAAAGTGTTTTTGATATGTCTTGATATATCAAATTTTCATGAAAATCCGATTTTTAAATTGGCCAATGCAATTACGCCCTCTAGCGGCTGTCCTGGAAACTTGAAAATGATTTCCAGAGATTTTTTTTGGCCACTTTCATCATGAATATTTTTTTCCGGAACCTGTGCGGCAAATAGTTTCCGAGATACAGCCGGCGTCCTTTCTTATAGTGGTATACCCGGTACATATACACCTAGAACATCCGTTTATATAGTCCTGGATCAACTGAGGAAATTGATCTCTAATTTCACTGATTTTGAACTTCAGTTATTGAATTTTTCAAATTTTATTCAACAAAATATTTTGTCAATTCTAAATACAATTTTGTTGATCGAAGAATATATATTTTTATTTTAACATATTCACTCTCTGAGAAACTGGAAATTTTGTCACATGAATGAATTGGTATGATTGGGTGGCCAGGTAGCCGTGCGGACAGAGTGTCTATATTCTAATTCGCATTCGCTTGCCGGTCGTGGGTTCGATCCCAGTCGACTGCAGAAATTTTTCTGATGGCCCAAGAAAGTGTTTGGGATCACACGTTAAAAGGTAAGGCCCCCGTCATTCCTTGCTCGCACAAGACTTTCGAAGACTTTTGAGGGTTGCTCGTAAGGGGGCAACCGAATGACGGATAGAACAAATTTTAGAACAAAAAAAGAACAAAATAATTTCAATCAATAAAAAAAAAACAATTCCTGCTGTTAATTTTAATCATTAATGAGTTACATGAAATAAATTCTATATTGAAAACTGTCAAAAAACATTCGGTGTGGTGACAAAATATTAGGTCGTGGAGTCGTTAATCTATGGGTCGTGGATATATGGAACTCAGTTTTTGTAGAATTTACGAAAATTTTGTAGTTTCAAATAAAATTTTTTTCTGTGTATATTTGTGAAGAGAAGAAAAATATCTTTAACAATAGTTGAAAATATACAGGGTGTTTTATTTAACCAAAAAACTGATTCCTACTCGTTTCTTCTCATTTTGCGACTCGCATTATTTCATTTAAGGAGTGCTAAAACATAGTACAGATGAAACCCTACAACTCTCATATTTTAATTTTTTTCACCTCGTATAGTTGAACCTGTAGGTAGGGGTCAAAATATAAGGAGACCCGTACAGTGTACATGCATAAATGAAAATATAATGGTGCCATACTGATGAGGCTGAATTCGGGAAATTATATAAACTTTTCTGTTTATTTCAGACTAAATAATGCATGTGCAAATACAGGGTGTAACTGAATAAGTGTAAAACATTTAAGGAGATGATTCCTCATCGAAAAAAAGATAGGATCTTTCATATAAAGAAACTTCATTGGAGCATCCCTTGTTAAGATACAGCCCCTTAAAGGGGGTACATAAAATTTGTATAACATTTTTTTTCACAAACACTGAAAAAGTTACAATATTGAAATTAACCTGACGTTTTGTACTACCAAAAAGACACTTAGCCAGTAATTTATTTGGTTTACCCCATGGTTGTAAGGGGTGAAAAACGCAACCCCTTTAAGGGGCTGTATCTTAACAAGGGATGCTCCAATGAAGTTTCTTTATATGAAAGATCCTATCTTTTTTTCGATGAGGAATCACCTCCTTAAATGTTTTACACTTATTCAGTTACACCCTGTATAATATGTTGTTCGCTTGGAGAGCCAAGGTTGCTACTAGAACATGGTGCATTATAATTATTATTTTGTATACCCTTGAAATCGGAATGAAATAGTAAAAACCTATATTATTATGAAGTACTGTAGTTAAATAGGTAAGCAAATACAAAATATATATAAATATCTGAAATAGGTTCCACATTGAAATTTAAAGAGGCCTAATAAGTTCGGCAACTAAGTTGCCATCCTCATTATTAGATCTGAAAAGGAAGTAAATAATAGTTTTCTGGAGTCTCCGGAATATACCAACGAGAGTGATTGTAAACTTTTTATACACAAGCCACCCCAAGTATTTCACGATTTCGAGACAGTGATTTTGATTCAATATGTGACTCACAACATAAATATTCATTGAAACCATATTGTTGCTTTGTTCTTTCTGGAATAATTTTTATCTGCCGATGATGGATACTCTATAGATCCGAAACATGCCCTCTCTTCATTTAAAATTTGATGATATTAAACGTTGCGGAGATGACTTGGAGTATTTTTTTTTATCGCTTGGAGCGCACGAAAGGGAATCCCTATAATGTTCAAAGAACATCGTGCGTTCCTAGGGAGGATAGGGACAGGAGGTAGGTATTGGAATTTTTTTTGAACTTTTGGAGATTATATGTTGTTGGGAATACTTCCACAGGCAATGAATTCCAGAGCCTAGCCGTTCTATGAATGAAGGAGTCTTGATAAAGTGCTGTTCGACATCTTTCGAGGTTGACAACGAAAGGATGTGCTGACTGGGCTTGTCTAGTTCGTCTGATTGGTATTGCTAGTGAAGGGATGATAGCAGAGATTTCCGAAGAACATTTCCCGTGGAAGTATCGATAAAAAAGTGAAAGGTCGCCGACCTTTCTACGGTATTATTACTATACCTATATAATTATTCAGATTTGAATTTTTTGGTGCATATATATAGATTATTATCCATTCTGAAGAGAGCCATACCATCAACGAGTTGAATAATATTAAAAACGTTGCGATTCACAATGTTCATGAGACTTCATAATTATCTAATGTTCGATCACTCTAGAAGTTACCTACTTCAGCAAATAAGAAATTTGTGATGATTCCTTGCCTGAGTCACAGAGAATTTGAGTTGGATTTTCAAATCGCGAGGGCTAAATGTAGCTTTCATTGCAAAAAATACCATTTGAAGTCTTCTTGGCAACCCTGAAGATAAAATTAACACTAATGATTTATCAGGTAGTATTGTACTCGAAGTATTGACAGAAGATTCAAAAGAACATTTTGATCAGATATACAGTTTGATAAATCATTTCTTTTTTTTAATTAACCACCCTGTATATACGGAGAAGTTGTATTCGGGCCAAGGTAGACGCACATTTTTGTTTAATTCAATCAATACCTTGGAAACACTATCCGTAAATTCATGAATGTCATATTGACAGAATCGTGTTACATCGTAACTTCGATATTTTTCTGGTTTTCTTCGAAATGTCTATAGTTGGTACAGCTTCTAAGCTTTTCGTGAATCTGGTAGCTCGACCGTTTCTAAACAATAATCTTCGTTCCATCAGTCACTTGGTAGCACAATACGAAAAGCCGGAAGATATTGTATGTAGGTGAGTTGATCAAAGTTAAAGAAAACATTCAGGTAGAATCACTATTATGCTAGAAACATACCTATATATAATTAGGTAAGAACTAAGAAGAATCCATTACCGTTCTGCATAATTTTGTTGGTCATTGGCCACATATTTATCACCAAAATATGCATGAAATTATTGATTCTTGCAAAGACAATGTTTCGCTATAAAGTTTCAAGAAAACTTCTATGGTGGTATAATGCTTTAACTCCTTGTATTTTGTTGTTTTAACGGACGTTGGACTTGTGAGTGCATTTTCTACAATAAAAAATAAATCATCAGGTAGATTTGGTTGAAAGCTTTGACAAATATTTTCGAAAAATTCGACATGCTTTCTAACTGACTCAATGTTACATGCACTATATATAGTCACTAAAGATATAAAATGCTATCACGAAATACTTTATTATGAATGTACTCACATTTTTGATATAGCTTGTTGTTTTTTATATCTACGGAGAAGTCCATAATCGGTTAGGGATTATCATAACGAATTCAACGATATCGGATTCGAATAGGGTTATTCCATAATCGGTTAGGGATTATCGTAACGAACTCAACGATATCGGATTCGAATAGGGTTTTTTCAAACGATTACGAATATATTCGTGTTCTATGTTTCCATCTCCTCAATAAGTGGGAAAGAGAAAGAAGTTTTGATATTGCCAAGTCACACCCGCGAATATCTTCGTAATCGTTTGCAATAATCCTATCAAATCTGATATCGTTGAATTTGTTATATTTCCTATCCGATTATGGAATAAAATGCAGGAGTCTTATTTGAAAATCAAAAGTTAAGGTAGTTTCCGGTGAAACCGGAAGTGATAGAACAAAAATTGGTTTGTCAATTAATGAGCAATTCGGTATACGTGCTACTCACCAATTTTCAAAATCCGATCTCAAACTATTCAGAAGTTACAGCACTGGCCGTTTATTGTGCACTTCTCAGTATAATTATCTAACCTCAAAGTAGGTAGTAGAACTTACTACCTTATCGTTATGACATGATTTGAAATATGTTTTTCATACTAGAAATTGCGCTGAATTAGAATATATGCAATATTATAAAAGGAAGTCCATAGATAAAAATAGATAATTGTACATTGATTCCATCATTCATTAGACTGAAGAAACAAAAATTGAGAAATTAATGGATCGGTACAAACAATTGATGGATATTATAGTAGGTAGGTATGATATAATCACGTCTTTAGGTTTTATTTTTGGTCTGAAACTGGACTTGAAATGTCTTGTTGATTGATTCTGATATATCATGATCATAATTCAATAAACACGAGCACAAATGACGTGGACAAGGGTTACACTTGCTCACAACTCGGCTGCCTGCCGAATACTACTATATGAGCCAGTCTTCACACACGTCTGTCATAGGCTCTGATCTAAGCACATTCCACTGAGCAGTAGCACATCTAGTTGCTAGATGCTAACAGATTCATAAATCAATATGTGAATTCCTACTGAACTGATATCAATTTCAGGATAAGACTAAAAAACTATATGCTATTATAGCTATAGGTAAAAACCTTAAGAGGACTCCTCCATCAAGAAACTACTTTACTTTTTTGTGAAATCCTCAGTTTCCGATGGATCTGATCGATCTTTCTTATTAGGTACATATATATAAAATAGCTTGATACATATTTGTATCGATTTTTCATCAGTGTCAGAGGTACTTGGTGCTGATGCTTATCACTAGGCGGCACTAAGCTTTTCACTAGGTGACACTAGTGCACAGATCGCCGAAAATGGTCGTGATGCCAAAACTCGCCAGTAGACAAGTTGCCAATCATTCGATCGTGATGCCGAAAGGTATGAAACGACGCTGTATAAACCGTGAATGCAGCGTCAAATTCCAAAAAGCAAGTTTTCCTCAAATTGTCCAATAGATTCCTTTAGTCCAAGAGCCGGCTGCAAAATTCGACCATCATCTGATAAGGAAGTAAATGGCATTTATTCCAAAGACATGTAAAAATATTGTTTTTTACCGAAAGCATGAAAGGCATACCTGTGCCAACTATCTTGTGCAAAATTATAGAGAAATTGTCCCTGTATGTATTTGACATTTTTGCTGTAATAAGAGTACGGACACTATGACAAGCAGTGACAGAATGCATAACCCCAAATTATCAAAATGACTTTGAAGTTTTGGTTGAAAAATGACATGGATATGCTTTTCCATGCACTTCGGATCTTCTTTCCTCTACTGCCGCGGTGAAGAGTACATCCATAATCTTTCTCTGTCTTTCTTTCCATGAAGAAGTGGCGTCTCATCTCATGGCCAAAAGAAGTCATAGTTTGTAACTTAATTTATATAAATAGGATGAGCCACATACATGAACTTTATGACTAAAGCTTTTTCGACATGCATTCACTGCATCCCATTTAGTACCATTATATTTAGAATTATGAGAAAAAATATGTTGCTCATAAATAGCAACTTTACTTAGAATACCTTTTCATTTGTCATCGATTTCATGGAATCGCATTTTTGAGTAATTGTAGTTGTAGTTGACTATAATTTTGGTTGAAATATATACCGAAACTATCAATTTGGGTCCCGATTTGATTCAAGATTGCCTGCATTTTTGCATTTGCAGTTTCCTCACAGTCTTCCAGAGATTTTTGATGAGATAGTTCAAGATTTGAAATTAGTTCCTCATAATAGCTGTGAATTCTCGTTACTTGCAGTCTCGTTTCAGAGTCTTTTTGTTTCAAGGTATTTTTCAATTGTTCATCATTTTCTTTGATTTTTTTTCTGTATTTCTCATCATTCTCTATTAATAAATTTGGAATGTTTGCATATTTTCTTCGATAATTTCTTGTTTGCGTTCTAAAATAGAGTTAATTTGATCTTGGCTCCCTATTTGAATTTTTCTTGTTCAAATTTTTCAGAATTCGATAAAAAATGTAATCGGTAATCTTTCTGATGGTAGAATGAAGGCTCCGCATTTTCTTTCGGAGTGCACCTATTATGTTGAAATTGAAATTAGAAATGATATTATTCCTCCGAATATGCATCGAATTCAATCGAAAAATTAAATTATTGAGTACTTACTTCGCAAATTTTGCTATAGGTGCACTCAATTACCACAATGGCCGCTTTATATGTTGATTCCCTTTCTGTAGCTGTTGTTTATTATGGAGGAAATGGAATAAATGAAATTATCCTCTTCTATTCTTGCATGTTTCAACTACACAATTAGCCATTTAAATTGTTGAAAAACTGAATTTTCGAATAATTTAATGTCATGTACGTTCATGAACTGTCAGTTCCCGTCAAATTGGTCATGTCATTTAAAATTCTTTAAGGTTATGCCTTCTGTCAGTGCTTGTCATAGTCACCGATGTTTGATGTCATGGTGTCCGTACTCTTATTACAGCAAAACTGTCAAATACAGACAGGGACTCTATCAAAACCCTACTTGGAGTCAACTCCTCGGCACAGCGATTTTTTTGCTGCCGTTATTCGAGAAATACTTCTGTCACGTGAGGACGAGTTTAAAAAAATTGCTAGTTAAAGGGAGAATAATCCTCTTCCCGAATATCCAAACGGGCCACGATTCAATCTGATCTACGTCAGTGGCAGAGAGCGTCAATAAATCTGAAAAACTTCCGCCCCTGTCTGAAGATAATATCCGATAGACCAAGTGAAACGTTCGCAAGTATTTGGATCCGCGTGAGTTTTGCGCTGGAAAATTGGTTCAGTATTCTGGTTCATCGGATATTATCTTTAGAAAGAGCCGAAATATTCTCGAAGATATTTTCGCTCTGCCACTGACATAGATCAGTTTTCCGCGAAGAGGACATTTTGTTATATCTGTTTTCGGTATTACCATCAGCAATAGGTATCTATTCATCCATCACAAAATCCTAAAGGGTGTTCTATTGGGAATCGGAAAAATGTCAACAGTGGGTAGAGCTCATATTTGTGGGGTCTTGTAAGTTTTATATCCGAGATATAGGGGGCTTTGTTAATCTTGTTCATTCTTTGTGACGCCATAACTTACGGACAACCCAGTATATTCTTTTGGAATTTTAAGTTAACTCCACAGGTGATAATCCACGGGATTCAAATCGGGTGACCCGATATCTAATTGGCCAGTTATAAGGGCCGCCTTATCCAATCCATGTTTCAGGAAAATTCTGGAGTCCAAGATCACCCGATTCGAATGCCGTGGATAATCTCCGTGGACCAATCTTGAATCTGGAGTATATTCTTCTGAGATTACTACTAAAGAGGAGCGAATTCAAAGAGTTGAAGTTTGAATCAAAATGAAGGGCAATTCGAGCAAATGTTATAACTTTTATGTTCCAAGTTGAGAACGTAGATTTTTAAATTTTTCAGCATTTTATAAGTACCTATACTAAATAGTAATTTTAAAATACGTGAATAGGTAGATAACAATGACATGAGGCGAAATAAAAAGTACGCCATCCGAGGAGGACTTGTGTATCAAATTCCAAAAGAATATACTGGGTGGTTCGTGATGATTTTTGTTATTCGATTGTGAAAACTCAAAACATTCTATTTTTACTTATCCAAATGCATAAAACCTCAATCTCAAAATCAAAAATTCCTTAGTTAAATAGCATCATTTGATGCAGCTTTTCGTGCACTTTCCAAATATGTGAGCATATTTTGGGAATCATAAAATACAGGGCGTTTTTTTTTTGAGATCCAGAAATATGATCTATTTTTGTTAATACCGACCTGGAGTTTTCTCGCGACCATTAGATGAGTCGGGGAGAAGGAGAAATTGTGTATGAAATTCGAAAGAATATACTGATGGGTGGTTCGTCGTAAGTTATGTCTTCACAAAGGATTGGGCAAAATTGATAAAACACCCTATATCTCGGATATAAAACTTGTGAGATCCTACGAATATGATATATTCAGAACCACCTTGATGAGCTCTACCCACCGTTGAAGTTTTATCGTTTCCCAATGGGGCACT